ATGTTAAGCCTAACAAAGACTATTGTATCGTTAAAAATTATTTTTTTATTTTGTACAAACAAAATAAATATATTTAAAAATATAAAAATAATAATAAATTATACTTCAGAAGTTAATTTAGTATCAAAAACGTAAAATATTTGAGTAACCCAAGACATAGCCAAAGATTGAAGCGCCACAGCACTGGTGAAAATTTAAATTTGCCGACTGGAAATCTTTCGGATGATTGACGTTTCGGATGATTGACTTTCGGAAAATTGACGCTCTACTGTATTAAATTTAGCAAGAGATGGTGCCTAATGCCTGCTTCCAGTGCATTTAATAGTAGTAGTAACACAGTGAGATATAATCTAGTAATTGTTTGGCTTTTATATATAACTATCAGATTTAAGATTTTTATATTTAAACTAAACAACTTATGACACTGAAATTTGGCATATGCAGAGAAGACACATCACAGGATTTTTCATAATCATCAAATTCAAGGAATGCAACTACATACAGTATAATTACTATCAAAAAGGCAGCAGAAAATTGTAGTTTTATGCATGTATGCTTGTTAAAAAAGCACATTTCATCACATATTAAAGAGTAAAATGTAATGTAAATGTGTGAAATATTTAAAAAGTTTCATGAGTTGTCTGGTTGAACTATGAAGGTTTAAGCAGGATAAAATAAAAAGTTTATTTATGGTTATGTTTAATCCACTGGAAATGTAATGGACTTACATTTTTAATGTACTAAATATAAATTATTATTTATATTAAGATTTTTAAAGTTTTATCTATACTTATTTAATTTTATCTGTTTACTTTTTTGCTGTCTGAAATAGGGAACATTTAAGTTCAGTGTAAGTTAAATTGATATAATTTTATTTAGAGCATGATATGATAGATTTGTATTTAAAATAACTTTATAAATTAAGTTTTTACTGCATTAATTATATTTTTACTACAAAAATATCAAAAATATTATTAAATTATTATCTAAAACTTTAAAATAGTATTCTCTTTATAGAATTTATATTTATAAACACATTAAAGTAAAAAAATTGGTACTTTAAGTATTGAGTGTATGCCATTTATCAATTTTATAAAATGATTGACAAATGAATAAAAATGTTGTAAAGGCATGATTAATAAGTAAAATAGTACTGAATGAAATTATCAATTTTTGTCTATTTTCATTCATTTTAAAATAAGATATTTTGAAATATAGCAAATATCTATAAAAATTGTGTGATTTATATTTATTATTATCTTTTTTTAAGCTTTGAAGATAGTACTTTAGATTTTTTAAAATCTCATAAAACTTTTTGTTTTAAAATATTTGTTTTTATCATAAAGCAACACTATCAAAGACACTAAATAGATTCTCATATTCACTTCTTGGAAGAGAGAATTTCCAAACATCAAGCATCTATTCTTTCTATTTGTAAAAATTTACATTGTAAAATGATAGCTATATTAAGTATTAGAATGAAATTAAATTAGAATGATTAATCCAAATGCTATGGTAATTGAATCATTCCATCCTATATTTAACTTCATTTAATTTAATAAAAGTAAACTTTTTATATATAAATTTAAATTGGACTATTAATTTATTTGAATCCTTTGAATTATTTGTGTAATTTCACTAGGAATTCTTAATTTTATAAAATACTCTTAAGAGAATAATTATATTGGAATTCCATTTCCAGATTAATAGCATACATTTTGAAAATTAGGAACATAATTAACAAGAATAGTTAAAAAATATATAATTTCAATACTAACATTATCATAATGTAAATTCTTTGATGGCTAACTTAAACCATAGATACTATGTATCTTCCAATTCTTTAAATTTCTTAGAATATTAAGTTAATAATGATTTTAAATTATAAAGAATTTGATAAAGTTTGAAGAACAAATATGATCTTCTGAAATCAAATTTACATTAAGAAACTGAGAAACTTATAGTAAATTTTTTGTGAGTGTTTTAAAATTTCATTAATTTTTATGCTTATATTTATACACAAATATTTTCAGTATAAATAAATCAGAAAAATATGTAGTTTCATTGAAGTATCTGTTCAGAATAAAACTTTGTGCTACATTTACATGCACTATTAATTGCAAATGAAATTAAATTAATAATCAAATACTGAATAGAGAAGTTTTCTGCTTGCCTCCAAATTTTATAACAAGTTTTCCTTTGGCCTTACTATATACAGTTGTTCTTTTCAAATGTTTTTTATGTAATCTGCTTGGCCAGAACTTAATTTTAATTATTTATTTTTAGTTTTGAAGTTATGATAAATGAANTATAATATATATATAATTATATTATAATGTAATAAGTTTAATATATAATATAAATTATATATTAAAATGAATTATTTAATTATGGCTTCTACTTACAATTTCAAGGTAATGCTAACTGTAACATTTAATCTAATGTTGAATAACTACACAGGTTGAGTCCCTAGATATAACCTTATATACTTTGTTTACAAATTTCCTAGCCTTTTTTTCTTTTATTGGCATATGTTTAAAAAATTTATTTATTATATATATTTTATTTATTTGCATTTTAGATATGGAGACATGAGAGTTTTAATGGGATTTCAAATTTTATCGATGTGGGGAAATTTAGGTAAGTTCAAAATATTTCATTGCTTCTTTCTAATTATTTGATGTTTAATCAAAAATTTTTATACGTTAGGGGTATTAAAGTAGTAATTTTATTACTATTACTTTATTAGAGTTACAGCTTTAGTATTTTATTTACTATGTTATAAATTATTACTTCAATAATACACTGTTATTTATAGAAATTATAACACTAAGATGAACACATCAGCTTATCTGGAAGTTTGAATTGTGAGTACATATAGGGAAGGAAAATTACTACACCAGAGCCCGTTTGCAAAATTCCTGTGTTAGCCATTTCCACTCAACCATCCTGGTCTAGGTATAAATATGGACAACACAATCTGCGTGTCTACAGTTGTATCACTCAAATTTTTAATGTGTTCTGTTATAATGACTGACTGTGTCACAATGTAACAAGAGACATCTATTCATACAGCTGTTGAACTTAAAGAAAGACAGATTGTGAGACTTCAGAAAGGTAGCTTATCCTTCTATGTTATTGCCACTTGTGTTGGAATAAATGCAAATGTAATGCTGAAAATTGTTAGCAGAAATGAACCAAATTTCAACGCATAATAAAAATTATAGTTGAATAATGTTTTATAGCTATATGAAAATTTGGGCAACAAAAATTAATGCAATTTAATTTATATAAGTATTATACAAATTTTCTATGTATGGAATTTATTATGTTTTGATATTACATATGTACTCAGGAAAATTCAAAACATTATGTCAAATTACAGTAGTCTCTACAATCCAACACTCTGCAGAGTGGCACACATGAAATCTTTGTGTTACTACATGTTGATGTATGGTGTGATACTGTCAGTTACTAGTTTGTTGTTACATATGGTCAACAAAACAATCACAGTTATTAATACAACAAACTAACCCATGACCAAGTGTTTTGTTTTTGTACTATACAGTGCATACATACATATAAAATCCAGTAATATGATAATCTGCTGTAATTCAACACTTGCTGGTCTCATATATCAGATTACAGTACTCTATTGTATATTAATTTTTATGCAAATTTTAATTATAAAAATATTTATATTCATTATTCCATATTATGATATAAGTAAGTAAATGTTTTTTAATGAACTGAATTCATTAGCTTTTGAGCTTTACATTGTTATTTGTTTAAATGAAGAGGACACTTCACAGGAATATGATGATATCAAATGGAAAAATTGTACAGTAGAGCATCGATTATCCGACCCTCGATTAACCGTCACATCGGTTAACCGACCATTCTAGTCGGCAAATTTCAAATTGCCGCTAGTGATGTAGCATTACAATATTTGGCTATGTCTTGGCTATTTTAATATTATTTTTGTTAAATTTTTGCATGTTTTAGCTGACATCAACGGCTCGACCATTGAAGGGAGGCCAATATTTAAACGAGACTTAATTTTCTAATTATGAGTGATTGTTTGTTTTGTGAGCAATAAAATAATTTAAAAATAACTTTTAACGAAACAATAGCGACGATTATTATTTTAAAAATTTGTTAGGCTAAACATTGATGAAAATTCAACACGAAGTTGGTTAATAGTGATATACTAATAAACTAATTACATGGGATATACTAATATCCCAATATACTATACTAATAATGTATTTTTTCCCTTCTTTTTGGTTATCCAATTTTTTCAGTTATCCGACCAACCTGAGTCCGCAATTGAGTCGGATAATCGATGCTCTACTGTATTTTTAAAAATAGTGATGTTTTAAGACTCAAAGTAACTTAGTTTTAATACTACATAATTTTTTTCATTGTAGATTTAAATCTAATAATAAAAAATTATATCTAAGATTGCATCTAAAAGTTCTTTATAGTGAAGCTATACTGCTAATTGATTTTATTATATAATATATACATACTGTTTTATCCTTAATATAATGACACTGGATTTTGACATATAATTTGAATATCATTTGTTTCGTTTAGGACAGTCTCTCATTATATACTCTCAACAATTTAGTTTATCCCACAGATTCTTATATGGTTCCTATTAGCATTCTCAAGTTATCAGTCTAACATTTTATACTTATGTCCTGAAACCAATTTATAACAATGAAATTAGAATGACATATGTTAGATGGTAGAGGCCTTTCCCAAAATATTGCCACATAATGTTGATAGTACATAATTGTCCAGGAAGTCTAGATAAAGCCTAGCCTTTATGGTTTTCCAAAATAACTAATGTACTCAAGCCAAACTTTGAAAAGCAGTCTCATACTATTATTCTGTCTCCATTAAACTTCATCATTGGAATGATACATTTCAGAAGATACTTCTTTTTCAACATCCACCATAACCAGGAATGGCCATCAGATTGATGGATTGTGTAGTCATCTATCTAAAGCACAATTTTCTATTGGTATATGCTATGCTTCTCAAACTATTCCAATTTAGCATATTGTATTAGTCAACGAAATTGACAATTTGTACAAGCTGTAAAATGTTAGTGATCCATATCATACACTTTATTGGTAACATTAGTCCCAATAGACTCAGAGATTCTGTATTATTTCAAATAAAACAATCATTTAAAGTATGCAGTTTTCTGTCATGTTCTGTTAATTTCAGAGATGTACTGGACACTGCAGATTGGTCTCTTTCCAATTCCATTTGTATATCAATATCAGAAACTATTAACTGGGATTTTTAATGCTACTGAAATGTCATATATGGAACAATTGCTTATTTGGCACTTCATTATCAATCCATGTTGGAACTCTGTTGTTGTGTACCATGGCTGAAAATGGAAGTTGTTTCAGACCCCAATGAGCATTTTGATGGTAGTCCGTGATATTCTCTTTGTATAGGATCTCATTTACTATCTATAGAAATGTCTGGATATTCATGATAGAGCTGTTTGCTGTAGCCACAGATTCAAATGATTTGATATATCCTCCTAAAATGACAAATTTTACATTTTTCTTATGCCATCAGTAATTCTAGGACATGTAGGCACTAAAATTGTATGATTATATAACTTATATGATTTTTAGTGCCTAGTGATCAAGTGCTTCCTTACAAGAATAAAAAGTAATGCAGATAGAATTTATATTTTAAACTTTCTTTGACAAAAATAATAAATATTTTAACTTTATTCTCTTACAATTTTTATATCTTAAAAATTTAACAATGCAGAAAAATATAATCAAAAGGATAAAGATTTTAATAAAAGTTTTGATACACACTTATCTTAAATAACAACAAAACTTTGAGATATTTGCAGTTAATATAATAATTCAGAACAAATAATAAAACAAAAAATACTTGAATATCAATAAACAGGCAGTTAAAATTTTATAAATCTTTATACCTATATTGGCTAATTTCTTCTATGAATTCATTAAATAGAAAGAGAATAAAACAATTATTTCATAGAGCTAAAACAAAAATATGTTGTTAAAGTTATACCAAATGAATTTACATAATCTTAACAGATAAATTCTTCATTCATGTGATGATTTAAATATGTTTATTTTTGTAAATTATTATATAATGATTCAACTAGTATATTAAAAATAATTCATAAAATGATACAGTAAATATACTTATGTTAATAATACTTAAATTACAGGTGATCGTAAAATACATTTCATTCCTGCAATGGTTGGTCCATTTCTCGAAGTTACCCTTGTTCCAGAGACTGAATTGAGAAAAGCAACACTTCCGATTTTCTTTGACATGATGGATAGTGAACAAAGAGCTCACGGAAACTTTAAACAGGTTAAAAAAAAAATTATATTTAATTTAATTAAAAAAGTATACAGTTTTTCAACATAATCAAAGTATGCAGTTTGAAATGAGGGAATGATGCTCAGTTTTTCCATTAGGAAGTATTTAGCCATATTTTAATAGGAGTTTCCAAACCAAGATAAGATTTTGCAATTTTGTGTTGTCTGTTCTTTTATAACATGTTTCATATGTTCATCTTTCTTGTCACAAATGACTCTATTAATATCAATAAAAAAACAAGTATGATATACTAAAAGTTTAAATAATTTAAATATATAATATGATAAAAACATTTTTTACTTTCACATGTTCTTTGAAGCATGTTTGGAATGTTCTAGATGTGATTCAAGAAAGATGCTTTGGTTTAGATCCTAGTTATCAGCTAGTATTTTGTTAAATTTTAATTAAAAGAATAAGTGAGGAATGAACATACAACACAATATTGCAAAATTTTATTTTGGCATAGGAACTTTTGTTGACATATGGTAAAGTTAAGATTTCCTTTGCTGATTTTCAAAGCACTGTAGTTGATTAGAAAATATGATGTTAATCAGAGAAGTTAGACATTTTAATAATAATATAAATTGCTTTTAGTTTGGTTAATTAACAAAATTATGAGAGAAATGAATTAATGAAGGAATTACAACTTTTTCTCTTGCATGAAATTTTTTGTTTATATGTAGTGATTAGATACATGAACATTTTCCATTAATTTAAATTTATATATTTCTCTTGTAAAACTATTAAAAATTTAAATTTTTTATTGTTCTAGTTTGTTCTATAAATTAGTTATTAAATACTACTATTAGTGCAAAATTAACTGTTACACTAAATTGAGGTTATTACATTTAGATATATATGATACTATTATTCAGTATATTGTAGAAATTATGTAACTTGAAGATTGCTGATAAGGTTGAAAACATTTGTTTTAATTAGATAGTTGCTAACTTACTGAACATTTTTATTGCTTTCATTTATTAATTTAATTAGAATTTCATTATATTTTATTTTTAACTTTTAAGAAAATATATACTGTACTATAAATGAAAGAATTAGAATTATATATTAACTTAATTGTCAATTACAAAAGAAATATTTTATTATTATTAATTTAATTTTTTTTAATTACTTTTATAGCAAATAAAATGAAGAAAATAATGTTACTGTAAAGTTTACTGACATACATTAAAACTTTAAATTGTGTCAGTTACTGACTGTTATTGTTACAGGTTGAATCTGAATTAATTGATAAACTGGACATATTGGTTAGTGAAAATAAAGGAGATGATGAATATCGACAATTATTTAATACTATGTAAGTAAAAGTTGTTAAAAAACACATTTGTAAAAGTTACTTTATACTATTTTAATCTCAAATAAATATGTTACCATTATTTGAAAAACTAATCTTAACTTATAAGGTATTTACAGTTTTTAGTAATGTTTAGAAGTTTAGCTGTTTTAAATTCACTGAATTTATTGACAGTTTTTTCTGAAATTATGGTATAGTATAATATATATATGTAGTAGAATATTATATTTAATCTTGATTTTGTTTGTACATTTTTTATTAATAGTTAGTCATTGATGATTGTTTTGCAGCAAAAACTGCCTTGTTTTATTCATGTCCCTCAAGACACTAAATGTGTATTTACACATTTCATTTTCTGCTCTGAGGAACAATGACGAATAAGGAAATGTATGTTAAAATTCTTAGAATAAAGCTTCATGAAGTCATCTGTGAAAAATGTCTAGAACACAATAATATGAAGTGGTTTCTTCATCACAGTATCACTAGACTACACTTTACCTATATTGTGTAGCCAACTTTTATACACTTGGAACTGAGGTCCTGTTTTATACCCCATATTTGATGGACTTAGTGCCATGTGGTTTCTTTTTGTTTTCTTAACTGAAGAAAGCTCTAAAAGACAAAATATGTCACATCTAATATGGAGGAATGCCAAGCCACAGTTTGATATCTGTCCAAAAATGGATTTTAAAAAGCATTTGATACATAGTTATGGAGATGGCAGACTATTTTAAACATGAGAAATACATAGATATAGATTGATAACAATAAATAAATAATATAGTTGATAACAATAAATAAAAATCTAGCATTATGCAGTGAATTAAATAATTAGACCTTACAACAAAAAAAAGCAGACACACACACACACACACACACACACACAGATAGATATATATATACATACAACTATTAGATTATGATTAAAACCACTAATAATAATAATAGTCATATATAATAAGAGTGCTTCATTTTGTTCTGACCTGTGAATCAAATTTTGTTTTCAGTAAATTTTGAAGAATATTTCAAGACATTACTAATCAAAAGATAAATGGCTAATTAAAATTTATTTTATGTTTGGATATTAACCTGCAATCTTATGAAGTAGCAGCAATTTTCTGCACCTAATATTTTTTCAGGAGCATTTTTCTCCAAATTAAGTTAGTTAACTGTGTGCCTCATGCTACATGCTATTCCTCTTACTACATAAAAATTTTACTGGAAAGCATTTTTTCTCTGCTTATCACAGACCCTCAAAAAACTGCTGCAGGAAATTGCTGCTTAAGCATGTGATTACATACAATTTTTTTGCTATTGTCAAACATTCACATGCATAAGGTGGCAATTTTTCCCTCTTGTTAAGATAGTCTATCATGATTGCTGCAAGAGGTAGGCATTATGTCATGGATGTTTGTCAGCTATTCATGACATATTAACATGCATGGTCTACAAATCACTAAGACCATCATATTTGTCTCCATAAGATAGTCAAAGGCATTATAACCTTTAACAATTTAAATGTTTTTATAGCTTTAGAGAATGCATGAAAAATACAGAAAAAATTATTTTCTAGTCATCCTATCATTTATTTCCAGCTGAATTCATTTGACATTAGCCCAGGCTATTGCAAAGTTTCAAGGGCTCCCAACCTGTCAAGGACATTGTTCTGTAAACAAAACAATGTCCTTTTCTTCTAGAACCTTTTAAATTAATTATTAAAATATTTATTTATTTATAATTACAGTAGAGCGTCGATTTTCCGAATCAATTGGGGACTGGGGTAGTCCGGATAACTGATATTTCGGATAACTGATTTACGTACGAAAAAATAGTTTAACGTATCGGATGTCGAAATTTTTATCTGTTGCGTGTCGCTTCGCGTTGAATTTTTGTCGATGTTAAGCCTAACAAAGACTATTGTATCGTTAAAAATTATTTTTTTTATTTTGTACAAACAAAATAAATATATTTAAAAATATAAAAATAATAATAAATTATACTTCAGAAGTTAATTTAGTATCAAAAACGTAAAATATTTGAGTAACCCAAGACATAGCCAAAGATTGAAGCGCCACAGCACTGGTGAAAATTTAAATTTGCCGACTGGAAATCTTTCGGATGATTGACGTTTCGGATGATTGACTTTCGGAAAATTGACGCTCTACTGTATTAAATTTAGCAAGAGATGGTGCCTAATGCCTGCTTCCAGTGCATTTAATAGTAGTAGTAACACAGTGAGATATAATCTAGTAATTGTTTGGCTTTTATATATAACTATCAGATTTAAGATTTTTATATTTAAACTAAACAACTTATGACACTGAAATTTGGCATATGCAGAGAAGACACATCACAGGATTTTTCATAATCATCAAATTCAAGGAATGCAACTACATACAGTATAATTACTATCAAAAAGGCAGCAGAAAATTGTAGTTTTATGCATGTATGCTTGTTAAAAAAGCACATTTCATCACATATTAAAGAGTAAAATGTAATGTAAATGTGTGAAATATTTAAAAAGTTTCATGAGTTGTCTGGTTGAACTATGAAGGTTTAAGCAGGATAAAATAAAAAGTTTATTTATGGTTATGTTTAATCCACTGGAAATGTAATGGACTTACATTTTTAATGTACTAAATATAAATTATTATTTATATTAAGATTTTTAAAGTTTTATCTATACTTATTTAATTTTATCTGTTTACTTTTTTGCTGTCTGAAATAGGGAACATTTAAGTTCAGTGTAAGTTAAATTGATATAATTTTATTTAGAGCATGATATGATAGATTTGTATTTAAAATAACTTTATAAATTAAGTTTTTACTGCATTAATTATATTTTTACTACAAAAATATCAAAAATATTATTAAATTATTATCTAAAACTTTAAAATAGTATTCTCTTTATAGAATTTATATTTATAAACACATTAAAGTAAAAAAATTGGTACTTTAAGTATTGAGTGTATGCCATTTATCAATTTTATAAAATGATTGACAAATGAATAAAAATGTTGTAAAGGCATGATTAATAAGTAAAATAGTACTGAATGAAATTATCAATTTTTGTCTATTTTCATTCATTTTAAAATAAGATATTTTGAAATATAGCAAATATCTATAAAAATTGTGTGATTTATATTTATTATTATCTTTTTTTAAGCTTTGAAGATAGTACTTTAGATTTTTTAAAATCTCATAAAACTTTTTGTTTTAAAATATTTGTTTTTATCATAAAGCAACACTATCAAAGACACTAAATAGATTCTCATATTCACTTCTTGGAAGAGAGAATTTCCAAACATCAAGCATCTATTCTTTCTATTTGTAAAAATTTACATTGTAAAATGATAGCTATATTAAGTATTAGAATGAAATTAAATTAGAATGATTAATCCAAATGCTATGGTAATTGAATCATTCCATCCTATATTTAACTTCATTTAATTTAATAAAAGTAAACTTTTTATATATAAATTTAAATTGGACTATTAATTTATTTGAATCCTTTGAATTATTTGTGTAATTTCACTAGGAATTCTTAATTTTATAAAATACTCTTAAGAGAATAATTATATTGGAATTCCATTTCCAGATTAATAGCATACATTTTGAAAATTAGGAACATAATTAACAAGAATAGTTAAAAAATATATAATTTCAATACTAACATTATCATAATGTAAATTCTTTGATGGCTAACTTAAACCATAGATACTATGTATCTTCCAATTCTTTAAATTTCTTAGAATATTAAGTTAATAATGATTTTAAATTATAAAGAATTTGATAAAGTTTGAAGAACAAATATGATCTTCTGAAATCAAATTTACATTAAGAAACTGAGAAACTTATAGTAAATTTTTTGTGAGTGTTTTAAAATTTCATTAATTTTTATGCTTATATTTATACACAAATATTTTCAGTATAAATAAATCAGAAAAATATGTAGTTTCATTGAAGTATCTGTTCAGAATAAAACTTTGTGCTACATTTACATGCACTATTAATTGCAAATGAAATTAAATTAATAATCAAATACTGAATAGAGAAGTTTTCTGCTTGCCTCCAAATTTTATAACAAGTTTTCCTTTGGCCTTACTATATACAGTTGTTCTTTTCAAATGTTTTTTATGTAATCTGCTTGGCCAGAACTTAATTTTAATTATTTATTTTTAGTTTTGAAGTTATGATAAATGAAATTTGATATATTCTATAAGATTTTATTATAATTGATTTATTTTATATATGTATATATTTCAGTTTGTTATCAAAAGTAAAATCAAATGATCCTGTTTGGAAAGAAAATGGAATTGCGTTCATTAATTCAATAACTCGTCTTTTAGAAAGGTTGTTAGATTACAGGTAAGAAATTTTTTATTATAATTACTTAATTTAATTGAATAATCTGAATGAAATTAAAGTCATTTAATTAAATTGAATAATTTTCTACCTTCAAATTAAATAAAAATGCTTCATCATAAAACTGAAAATCTTTATGTCTTGAATCAAAGAAACAGACTTTCTCTAAAAACTTAGTCATGTAATTTTGAACTTAATATTTTTTTAAAATTAGTATTTGCATTGCAGTATTGCTAGAAAACTTATATAATTGGAAAAGTTGAAAATTCACTTATTTGTAAACTATTTATTATTTCTATAGGTATAAATTTTAAAAATCTAATAAAAGTTTAACTTTTTATTTCAGTTCATAAAGGATAAAAATATGTTAGGAAGATTATGCATTAGAACTTATGTATAATTAGCAACATGACTGTCAATGTAATATATTGTTATTTTTAACAATGTTATAAATATAGACATACCTAATGATAAATAGCTAAGGAACTTTTTTAAAAAGATTTATCCAATAAAGTGTTATATATTAGCATGTTCAAGGAGGAAACAGAACAATTCTTTATCAAAGGAAAAGCCTTATGATTTACTTTGCAACAAACAGAAAGATCAGATTTGAAGATTTGTTTTCAAACTTATGAAGAGATTTAATAAAAATATATTACATTAAAAATAGTGAATACATATTCATTTTGTAAAAATATAAGATAAATTTATTAGTAAATGAAAAGACAGCATACATTACATAGGAAATCAACATTAATTCAAAATTCAAGGGACAAAATAAATACAACTTTGAATTATCAAGTTTCCAATTATCCAAGATTTTCATATTTCTGTACAATATGTCAAATGTCACATAACTGATGTAATTTATTAAGCAAATAGAATACAGATACTATATAGAATGACATTTTTGTTAATTAAAAATTTAAAATAATAATATAAATGAGAAGGTAAATAGCACATGTCTGGTGACAACCTCGCAGGTTGCCAGATGGGTTTTATAAAAAGTAAAGCAGAATTTCTTGAAATGTAGCCCAAATTATTTTTAAAGTGGTCCAAAATGTAGTAAGTTGCTCAAATGTATTAGCCTATAGCCCTATAAATATTTCAATCTGCTACTCATAGCCACCCAATCTTGCAGTCTTGAAACCCAACTATATTTTATGAGATAAGAGGGAAAAAATGGTAGTCCATGGATAAGGTGACACACAAAAATGTGTTACTGTAAAAGCAAAGCCATATTGACTAGATTAGAGTTGTTATTGGTCTATTTTCATGGAGGCACTTCAATCTAAATGAATTAATAGGCATATCACAGTTCAGACAGAATTTTAACTTTAGAATTCATCTACTTTGAAATTCAAACTAACAGAATTCCTTAACATGTAAATCTCTATATTCTTAGCCAGGACAAAAGTACAGTTACAAACTAATGGAATTTTGAACTGAGTTTGAATTAACAAAGATTTCTTATATTTGATTTTAAAAGCTAATGTATTAGAATTTATTTGCAAATTATGTCTATGAAGTTTTTGAATTTCTTAAAGTACATATATTATTTTTAATATATAAATTCATTAAATAACAAATTTTAAGTGTTAAATATGCAGTTGTATCAAACCAATAACATTTCTATTTAAAAGAATTAGTAATTAAACTCTACATTACTATACTAATATTAAAACAATAAAATACTAATAAATGCATTGCAATTATCTGAAAAAGTTTTTGAACTCAAGATTAAATTCTGAATTAAATAAGAATAAAGGTGCTCTATTATCCTCTGAAATGTTTAATCTTATTGAACAAAGATATAAATTACGGGCAATAAAAGCTATTTAAATATCAGTTTATAATAGATTGATAATATTTTACTATTGTATTCATGCAATACTTTTCAAATATATTTTGTGTGTATTTATTAGAGATGAATTCTATCCACAAATACTCAAATACTAGAAAGTATTTGAACTCTCAACTCTCAAATATAACAAAGATAAAAAATAAATTTGAATACTTTGAATATCTCCAATATTGCACCATATGTACAGATAGCACCTCTTTTTCACCTCTGATTGAATTTGAGATTTAGGGTGTTGCTTTTCTTTTCAAAAAATGTTTGAATGATTCTTCTATTAAGCCTGGTACTCACATGTGGAAACGGACAACGGAAACGGTTGTCGTTCCACCGTCTTTCCATGTTGCATGTACTCACATGCGGTACTCAAACAAGCTACTATAGTAGGTAGGCCACGTGCCAGTAGTCGAAAATGGCATCTACCGGGATTGCTTTGTTACATCAGTTAAACTTTTTAAGTTTGACTTTAAACTTATCACAAATAAAAAACCTCAAAAATGAATAATTTGGATAGGAAAAATATTCTAAATCGTTGAAAGTTAGGAATATCAAATACTTTCATCACTGAATTACGATTACTCTATTTCCAATATTTTATGCAGTAAGTACATTTATTTGACATTAATATTTAAATCGGATAGTAATATAGCATATTAGACTGAGACTTCACTAACGTAAAAATGGGCATAAAACCTTTGCCATAAAAGCTTTTAATCATGTGACCATGATATTTTACACATGAGCATGTCATAAAACTAGCGTAAAAGCGAGTTGAGCAGTGTTTAACTTTCGCCGTGAATATGGCCATAAAACGGTATTATCCACCAATCAGAAGTCAGTGAAATCTAGGTCATTGTGACATGGTGTGAAAATGGCAGAAAACAAGCTTCTGTGTATGTTCCCTCTTGGCTACTCTAGAATAGATCTGGAAAGATTTATCGAAAACATCCAAAAGTATTCATGTATCTACGACAAGAAGTATCCCGATTATAATGGATGCCTAAAATACGTGATAGGGACGGCCAAAGGAAAATCTTTCAATTTGGAGGAGTATATAATGAAAAAAGCTAAGCTTATAAGTGCTGCATATTATCTTAATTAATAATACGATAATAAAAGTTAATATATTTGTAATTATAGTACAGAAAAAACTCATAGAATATAATCTATGTCTTTATAACTTCGATAGTATCGTCGCCATAAAAACTTCACTAGCTAGACCTCCATCGCAATCCAAATGCAAATAGGTCACGTGATTAAAAGTTTTTACGGCAAAGGTTTTTACATCTGTTTTTACGCTGGTGGAATCTTGGCCTTAGTGTACAAATAAAGCTTTTTAGCTTGCCGATCGCTATGGTTTGAATGCTATCGTCCCATGTGATCTTTATGACGACATTGCTAAATGGCCTTCATATTGGTCTAATTTTTTCTGTTCCGCTTTCCATGATGGCAAAAGTTGAAAATTTTCAACTTTGTATTCCGTTGGCTTTGACAGCAAAAATGACACCATTTTGCTGTTCCGTGGACGGGTTCTGTTGTCCGTTTCTGCATGTGAGTACCAGGCTTTAGTGGGAGAAACCTATAGTAGGGGAGAATGAAAATAATTATTGATTAATGTGTTGTAGTTAAGTATAGGTAGCTAAAAAGGAAGCACAAAAAAGTCAAAATTTTAAGCTTATTTTCTTAGTATTTACTAAATTATTCATAGTTTTACTTTATTAATTTATTTAATATTTATTATTTAACTAAATAACTTATAGGCCTACTAGGGTTTTATAGGCCTTCAAAAATGTTGATACAGTTCATTAATTCCTGGTAATGCTGTTTCTTTCTTTCTTTTTTGTGACTGAAAAATGTGTTATGACAATTTTATGCTAAGTATTTTATACATATAATATACTTTTACACACTTTATACAATTTATATATATCTCAACCAGCTTCTATTCCATCTTTAAATGACTTAAAGCTAATGTTCTTAGTCATTTAAGCTGTAATAAAGTGGTTGAGATAATATTGTAATTAGATTCAATGTGTAAGGTTGAAAATAGAGTAAATAAGATGATTCTCACTAAATATCTTTGATATTTGAGTATTCAAGAAATCTGAATATTTGAGAATTGGTTAATACAGTAATTAAATTTGAGAAACTTATATTCTCCCATCTCTAGAATTTATTATTTTGTTTCAAAGTAATAAATATATATATACTTTATTTAGGTATTTTTTTTTACTTTTTGCATTTTGTTCAACTGATGTATTGCTAGATAAAATATGTTTTTATCTAGTTATATATGTATATACATATATAGCCTGATAAAACATGTTTTAACAATTAAACTTAGAATAAAAGTTTGTTGGATTTTTTTTTAGAAGTGTTTTATNATACGAATTTAGCCATCTTGACAAGTGAGCAGGTTTAACGACCTGTTGCCGAAAAGGGAGAGTCGGCGGTTCCCGACCTCCCCGACGGTTCATACTAATGCGAGATTTTATTCTTTGTTTAGAAGTGTACTTTGAACTCTTTACTTCACATTTGTTAGAATAAAACCAAGTTGTAATGTCTTCATATAAAAAGCTTATCAGGCATATTATGCTTTATGGTTTTCAAACAGGATATAGAAATCACAAGTTTACAAATGGTTTTCCTGATACCAAAAATGGATTAGTTCAACCTGGCTGTCCTTTGACAAGTAGAAATGAGGAAAACAAAAATGTTTGACGGGGATTGTGTCATGGAGTAGGGTTTCTCATTTCCCGGTCTTTTGCTTGTTCTGGGATTCTGGGATAAAAGTGAACTGTTTCCAAGGATCCCGAAAAATAATTAATTATTTTTAAGATATAGAATAAATCTTAAAATCATATGATATAATTACTTTTCATTTTTAAGTAACTTAGTATGTCCTGCAATTTCCAAAATAATAATAATAATAATGCTGTGTAAAATATGTATAAAAAATTACTTTTGAGTAATGTAGAAATTTTCACAAACAGAAAAAGTTTATTAAAGTTTGTTGGAAACTGTATACAACAAAAATGCCTTTGAATTGAGTTAAAAATTTAAAGGAAAAATGAACTTAGATCAAACTTCTAAGTTAGAAAGTAATTTTCGTTATTTAAATAAAACATAATACAAAATATTATTGTAAATTTTTATAACAAGATTTTAAAAAGCAAAAATGGTCAATACTTCAATCACACAATTTGATTCTTATTTTACTAAAGAAAAGTCCTGCTACCGAGTATGCCCTTTTCAATTCAATTGATGTGGGTGAAATAGTCTTTAATACATTTAAAAGAATGTGGATGTTATATGTTATAACTGATTTACGTACGAAAAAATAGTTTAATGTATCCAATGTCGAAATTTTTATCCGTTGTGTGTCGCTTCGCGTTGAATTTTCGTCGATGTTAAGTCTAACAAAGACTATTGTATCGTTAAAAATTATTTTTTTTTATTCTGTACAAACAAAATAAATATATTTAAAAATATAAAAATAATAATAAATTATACTTCAGAAGTTAATTTAGTATCAAAAACGTAAAATATTTGAGTAACCCAAGACATAGCCAAAGATTGAAGCGCCACAGCACTGGTGAAAATTTAAATTTGCCGACTGGAAATCTTTCGGATGATTGACGTTTCGGATGATTGACTTTCGGAAAATTGACGCTCTACTGTATTAAATTTAGCAAGAGATGGTGCCTAATGCCTGCTTCCAGTGCATTTAATAGTAGTAGTAACACAGTGAGATATAATCTAGTAATTGTTTGGCTTTTATATATAACTATCAGATTTAAGATTTTTATATTTAAACTAAACAACTTATGACACTGAAATTTGGCATATGCAGAGAAGACACATCACAGGATTTTTCATAATCATCAAATTCAAGGAATGCAACTACATACAGTATAATTACTATCAAAAAGGCAGCAGAAAATTGTAGTTTTATGCATGTATGCTTGTTAAAAAAGCACATTTCATCACATATTAAAGAGTAAAATGTAATGTAAATGTGTGAAATATTTAAAAAGTTTCATGAGTTGTCTGGTTGAACTATGAAGGTTTAAGCAGGATAAAATAAAAAGTTTATTTATGGTTATGTTTAATCCACTGGAAATGTAATGGACTTACATTTTTAATGTANTCAATGTTAATTCAAAATTCAAGGGACAAAATAAATACAACTTTGAATTATCAAGTTTCCAATTATCCAAGATTTTCATATTTCTGTACAATATGTCAAATGTCACATAACTGATGTAATTTATTAAGCAAATAGAATACAGATACTATATAGAATGACATTTTTGTTAATTAAAAATTTAAAATAATAATATAAATGAGAAGGTAAATAGCACATGTCTGGTGACAACCTCGCAGGTTGCCAGATGGGTTTTATAAAAAGTAAAGCAGAATTTCTTGAAATGTAGCCCAAATTATTTTTAAAGTGGTCCAAAATGTAGTAAGTTGCTCAAATGTATTAGCCTATAGCCCTATAAATATTTCAATCTGCTACTCATAGCCACCCAATCTTGCAGTCTTGAAACCCAACTATATTTTATGAGATAAGAGGGAAAAAATGGTAGTCCATGGATAAGGTGACACACAAAAATGTGTTACTGTAAAAGCAAAGCCATATTGACTAGATTAGAGTTGTTATTGGTCTATTTTCATGGAGGCACTTCAATCTAAATGAATTAATAGGCATATCACAGTTCAGACAGAATTTTAACTTTAGAATTCATCTACTTTGAAATTCAAACTAACAGAATTCCTTAACATGTAAATCTCTATATTCTTAGCCAGGACAAAAGTACAGTTACAAACTAATGGAATTTTGAACTGAGTTTGAATTAACAAAGATTTCTTATATTTGATTTTAAAAGCTAATGTATTAGAATTTATTTGCAAATTATGTCTATGAAGTTTTTGAATTTCTTAAAGTACATATATTATTTTTAATATATAAATTCATTAAATAACAAATTTTAAGTGTTAAATATGCAGTTGTATCAAACCAATAACATTTCTATTTAAAAGAATTAGTAATTAAACTCTACATTACTATACTAATATTAAAACAATAAAATACTAATAAATGCATTGCAATTATCTGAAAAAGTTTTTGAACTCAAGATTAAATTCTGAATTAAATAAGAATAAAGGTGCTCTATTATCCTCTGAAATGTTTAATCTTATTGAACAAAGATATAAATTACGGGCAATAAAAGCTATTTAAATATCAGTTTATAATAGATTGATAATATTTTACTATTGTATTCATGCAATACTTTTCAAATATATTTTGTGTGTATTTATTAGAGATGAATTCTATCCACAAATACTCAAATACTAGAAAGTATTTGAACTCTCAACTCTCAAATATAACAAAGATAAAAAATAAATTTGAATACTTTGAATATCTCCAATATTGCACCATATGTACAGATAGCACCTCTTTTTCACCTCTGATTGAATTTGAGATTTAGGGTGTTGCTTTTCTTTTCAAAAAATGTTTGAATGATTCTTCTATTAAGCCTGGTACTCACATGTGGAAACGGACAACGGAAACGGTTGTCGTTCCACCGTCTTTCCATGTTGCATGTACTCACATGCGGTACTCAAACAAGCTACTATAGTAGGTAGGCCACGTGCCAGTAGTCGAAAATGGCATCTACCGGGATTGCTTTGTTACATCAGTTAAACTTTTTAAGTTTGACTTTAAACTTATCACAAATAAAAAACCTCAAAAATGAATAATTTGGATAGGAAAAATATTCTAAATCGTTGAAAGTTAGGAATATCAAATACTTTCATCACTGAATTACGATTACTCTATTTCCAATATTTTATGCAGTAAGTACATTTATTTGACATTAATATTTAAATCGGATAGTAATATAGCATATTAGACTGAGACTTCACTAACGTAAAAATGGGCATAAAACCTTTGCCATAAAAGCTTTTAATCATGTGACCATGATATTTTACACATGAGCATGTCATAAAACTAGCGTAAAAGCGAGTTGAGCAGTGTTTAACTTTCGCCGTGAATATGGCCATAAAACGGTATTATCCACCAATCAGAAGTCAGTGAAATCTAGGTCATTGTGACATGGTGTGAAAATGGCAGAAAACAAGCTTCTGTGTATGTTCCCTCTTGGCTACTCTAGAATAGATCTGGAAAGATTTATCGAAAACATCCAAAAGTATTCATGTATCTACGACAAGAAGTATCCCGATTATAATGGATGCCTAAAATACGTGATAGGGACGGCCAAAGGAAAATCTTTCAATTTGGAGGAGTATATAATGAAAAAAGCTAAGCTTATAAGTGCTGCATATTATCTTAATTAATAATACGATAATAAAAGTTAATATATTTGTAATTATAGTACAGAAAAAACTCATAGAATATAATCTATGTCTTTATAACTTCGATAGTATCGTCGCCATAAAAACTTCACTAGCTAGACCTCCATCGCAATCCAAATGCAAATAGGTCACGCGATTAAAAGTTTTTACGGCAAAGGTTTTTACATCTGTTTTTACGCTGGTGGAATCTTGGCCTTAGTGTACAAATAAAGCTTTTTAGCTTGCCGATCGCTATGGTTTGAATGCTATCGTCCCATGTGATCTTTATGACGACATTGCTAAATGGCCTTCATATTGGTCTAATTTTTTCTGTTCCGCTTTCCATGATGGCAAAAGTTGAAAATTTTCAACTTTGTATTCCGTTGGCTTTGACAGCAAAAATGACACCATTTTGCTGTTCCGTGGACGGGTTCTGTTGTCCGTTTCTGCATGTGAGTACCAGGCTTTAGTGGGAGAAACCTATAGTAGGGGAGAATGAAAATAATTATTGATTAATGTGTTGTAGTTAAGTATAGGTAGCTAAAAAGGAAGCACAAAAAAGTCAAAATTTTAAGCTTATTTTCTTAGTATTTACTAAATTATTCATAGTTTTACTTTATTAATTTATTTAATATTTATTATTTAACTAAATAACTTATAGGCCTACTAGGGTTTTATAGGCCTTCAAAAATGTTGATACAGTTCATTAATTCCTGGTAATGCTGTTTCTTTCTTTCTTTTTTGTGACTGAAAAATGTGTTATGACAATTTTATGCTAAGTATTTTATACATATAATATACTTTTACACACTTTATACAATTTATATATATCTCAACCAGCTTCTATTCCATCTTTAAATGACTTAAAGCTAATGTTCTTAGTCATTTAAGCTGTAATAAAGTGGTTGAGATAATATTGTAATTAGATTCAATGTGTAAGGTTGAAAATAGAGTAAATAAGATGATTCTCACTAAATATCTTTGATATTTGAGTATTCAAGAAATCTGAATATTTGAGAATTGGTTAATACAGTAATTAAATTTGAGAAACTTATATTCTCCCATCTCTAGAATTTATTATTTTGTTTCAAAGTAATAAATATATATATACTTTATTTAGGTATTTTTTTTTACTTTTTGCATTTTGTTCAACTGATGTATTGCTAGATAAAATATGTTTTTATCTAGTTATATATGTATATACATATATAGCCTGATAAAACATGTTTTAACAATTAAACTTAGAATAAAAGTTTGTTGGATTTTTTTTAGAAGTGTTTTATATTATGTATTAGTGAAATGTTTGTTTATTTATCTTTTTCCAGAAATGTCATGGAAGGAGAAGAAAACAGAGATAAACGTATGAGTTGCACAGTAAATCTGCTTGTAAGTGATATCTTTTCATTACAATAGACATTAATAGTGATAAAGCTTGACAAGTAGGACAATAAGAAAATACAATTAAATGTGATTGCCATAAAAAATTAAATTAAAATAATATTTAAAATTATAAAATCAAGATTTAACTGAATTAGTCTTTTGGATTAAACATTTTTCTTATTTTTTGTACAAGTTAGTAATTTTTTCAAACATTAACCAGAATAATTAATGTTTGAAAAAAACCATTAATTCTGGCATCTTTTAAATTCATTTTGAATATGTGGAATAATTACAGGTATACCTTGAGTTACGTCGTCCTCGATTATATGTCGTTTGGCAAAAAATATATGGAAAAATAAAAATCAAGTTTAAGTAATTTTAATCGACTTTACGTCCGTCCACCACAAATTTTGAAGTTGTAATATCACTAGAAAAGCATTAAAGAACATAAAATAATATTAAAATATGTACATTTACAGTAAATGTTAATATAATCATCATAAATCCTAGAGAACGAAACATGAAAACGTCTGTGTTTCTGTGTTGTCTTCTTATTTAGCAGTCTTTAAGTTCTCAATATTGGTGTTTTCCATGTAGCTCCAATATCTATAGTTTGGCGTCATTGTCAGCTCCACTTGATATTGGTAAATTTAATATAAATTAGTTTATTTTCTACTGTCGCAAAAGATAATTTTAATAACTGTATTTGTTATTTAACCTTACAAAATCATCTTATTTTATAATGTCTTAGAGCAAACCATGTTCACAAATAAAGAGTCTGCAATGTACTGTAAACATCACCAAATTGTAAACATGAACATTTACAAGTATGTACTGTATGTACAGTACATGAATTCGTAAATTTAGATTACTTGTTTTCTGTACTATATTAAAAACTAAAATTTATTTGTTTGTAAGCTTAAAATGTATTCTTATTAGTCATATATTATTAAAAATGCATTTTTCAATAAAATACAGAACTGGGAATGATGGTTATTTGTTGTTTAGCCTAGTGACAAGTAGATTCAGACAGGTAAATTTGACTTATGTTGTTTTTCGACTTAAGTCGCCTCTCCTGGAACCAATTACCAATGTAAAGCAAGGTATACCTGTATTGTATTAAAAAAGGATTCTAATTTGATTTACTCTTAAAGCATAAATTATGAAAAACTAATTGTCAAAGATGAGTTTATTAAGCTGAAAACAGTGTCTAAAATTGAGTATAAAACAGAAACCTGCCTAAATGGAGATTAATTCTTGGAACAGAACAAATTTTTGTGTAAAATATTACTATAAGCTGAAAATCTGTTGTGCATTAAAGTGGAAGGCTTTTTTGAGTACTGATTGTATAACATAATTTAAGCAAAGCAGAATTTTTTGGTATTACATCAACTGCATTCTAATACTCTACCTTGTGGACCATGTCAACTTCTTAGTGATTAGAGTTTACACTTCATAATCCCAAAAGAAAAAAAAATATGATATTCTCATTGTTAAAACAGTATAATGCTATTGTTTCTCCCTCAACCCTCTAAAAATTAATTCTTTACTTGGGAGTAACAATATTTTAATAATATGCATTAGTTTTAGAGAAAAATTAATGCTAAAAATCTAAAAAGTCTTGCTAGTTACTGAAAACATGAATTTGATATATTTTCATCTTTTGTAAATAAAAATCAGCAAATGGTTACACTGTAGTGTTTTAGATCAAATTAATTTATAGGTTTTAACTAATAGAGAGAACAAGCCATTAAATATTGGGAACAACAAAGGCACTACTTTGACAATGGCAAATTACTTGAAAAATAATCATACTAAGGTTTTGAGTCTAATTCTTATTCTTTTTTAGTGTTAATCAATTTATTTAGTTTAAATAGTTTTTGTTTATATACAGTATATTGGTTTATATATATTTTTCTAAAAAGATTATCATATATTTTATTCATGCCTGTACTGCTCAAAAGGCATGTTATTCAAAAGGCAAAAAGTTCTATCTCCATAAAAAATTGAAAATCAAGTTGATGACAGGTGTGTAACTTGATTTTCAATTTTTGTAATAATAGAGTCTTTTGTCTTTGAGCTTATATTTCTAATTGAAAAATTATGTAATTTCTAATCTATATTCAAATATTTTATTTGGGCAGAATTTTTATAAAAATGAAATCAATCGAAAAGAAATGTATATTCGTTATATCTACAAACTATGTGAACTTCACTTGCCAGCAGAAAACTATACAGAGGCAGCATTCACACTTAAATTGCATGCAGATTTGCTGACTTGGTCTAATAGAACTTTGCCAGCAGATTCACGATACTGTCAACAACCTGAATGGCAACGTAGAGAATTGTTGTATCTTAAAATAATTGAATATTTTGATAAAGGAAAAGTAAGTGAATTTTATGTTTCCTTATACATCAACTAGTTATAATTTTATAATTAACTAGTTTTAATATTGGGTTGTTCGGAAAGTAATTTCGTTTTTTTTTTACCACTAGATGGATTAGTATTATTTTTCTTGCCATTTTTATTCTAATATTATCATCATTATTATTGTATTATCATTATATATTTTGACAGGTAGCATTTTAAGGCATATTTGTAAAAAATTTTGATTGATTTTGTGCAATTGTTTATTTTTTATGTCCCATCAAATATGGAAGATTGAAAGATTGGCATATTTTGCTCTTTTATTACCGAAAAGGTAAGAATACTGTTCAAGCGAGAAAAAAATTGTGTGACATATATGGATGTATTGACAGAATGACAGTGCCAAAACTGATTTACAAAATTTTGTTCTGGCAATTTCAATATTGAAGATTCACCATGTTCTGGATGGCCAGTTGAAGCCAATGAAAACAAAATAAAGGTACTGATTGAAGCAAACTGCTGAATAACAACACGTGAAATCACTAAAAGATTAAATTTGTCAAATTGAACTGTTTATGATTACTTGAAACTAATTGGTTTTGTTTCAAAGCTCGATATATGGGTTCCACATGTTCTTAAAGAGAGATGCTCTCTTTGGTGGGATTTTAAGGAAATTTTGTTTTTTGAGCTTTTACCAGACAATTTAACAATTGATTCAAAAGTGTACTGCCATAGATAGAGTAAACAAATTGAGTAATATCATCAAACAGAAAAGGCAGCCAGAATTGATCAACAAAACAGATGTAGTGTTTTACCACGATAATGTCAAATTTCACACAAGTTTGGTAACTCGTCAGAAACTGTTATAACTTAGATGGGACGTGCTATCACATCAACCATATTCGCCAGATCGAGCACACTCAGATTATTACTTGTTCCGGTCTATACAAATTTTTTTAACTGTAAGACATTTACTTGAAATGACAATGTCAAAAATCACTTGGATCAGTTTTTTGTAAGCAACAATCAAAACTTTTATGAATGTGAAATCATGCTACTACCAGAAACAATGACAACAGGTATTTGACCAAAATGGTTGATAAATAAATATTTTATTGAATTATATATTATAAAACAATATTGTGTTTTTTTTCCACGGGAAAAAAACGAAATTACTTTCCGAACAACCCAATAGTAATTCTATTTTAAACATGATTTCCATGTAATAAGTCAACTCCATTTGTTCCAACAAAAGTAAGTAGCCTGAAATGCTAAAAAGTTCAAGATGTAATCACATATGTCAATATTTATTCATTTTTTTAGTCTTGAACTTATTAATGTATAATAAACTGTACTCTTTAATGAGAAAGTATTTGTGTATAATTCCATATAAATAAAATATCGATTAACTTGTTTTATATAAAAAATATTGTGTTAAAAAAATGACAGTAGAGCGTCAATTATCCAAATCAATTGGGGACTGGAGTTGTTCGGAAGATCGATGTTTTGGATAACTGATTATGTACGAAAAATATATTAATTTAGCCCATCTTGACAGTTTTCTCCGTTGCATGTCACTTTGCGTTGAATTTTTGTCGATGTTAAGCCTAACGAAGACTATTGTATCGTTAAAAATTATTTTTTTTTTTGTACGAACAAAATAAATATATTGAAAAATATAAAAACAATAAAAAATTATACTTCAGAAGTTAATTTAGTATCAAAAACGTAAAATATTTGAGTAGTCCAAGACATAGCCAAAGATTACAGCGCCACAGCACTGGCGAAAATTTAAATTTGCCGACTGGAATTCTTCCGGATGATTGACTTTCGGATAATCGACGCTCTACTGTATATAAGAACAAATTAATGGCAATTTGAAATTTGAAAATAGTAAAATTCATATTATTAGATTTAAGAGAAAATTGCACTTAAAATTATGATACAAAGTTTTTGATAGAATAAAACACATCATAATGTTAACATCTATTCTGACAGCTAAGCAGATATTTACATAATTCAGAACAAGGATACTCACCTGATTACGAATAATATTAATACTATGATACAAAATTCAAATTGTGCCTTTTCCCTTAAATGGCTGAGAGGACACCAGGGAAATATTGGCAATGAAAGAGCTGACGAGTTAGCAAAGAAGGCAGCTACCCACCAAGAAAACACCATAATATACAGCAAATTACCACCTGTGACAGGATACAGCGCTATAAAAAACTATATTTTAAGTGAATGGCAAATGTATTGGGACAACTCCCATAATGAAACAACTTGCTCATGCTTACCAGACATTAAAAGTATCTTCAAGATGAATTGGCTCGAAATCGATCATAATACAACCCAATTTATAATGAACTATGGCTGCTTACACAGATTCAAAATCACTGATAGTGATAAGTTTTCTATTTGTAACAAAACCGATAGAAGCGACCACTACTTGTTCGACTGCCCTATAGTTGAAAAAGAAAGGAATGAGTTACAGCAATTATTAGGCTGCAAACATATTGATTGGCCATGCAATAAAAGCATTCTCCTGCAAGACAAAGAAATCTACAGGTCCTTCAAAACTCTTATTGACTTATATTTCAAACAGACTAGTGCAAAAATTATACTGAATATTGTTGGTTATCTGGGAAGCCACCCAGCCCTTTATTGTGTTAAGTCCCACGCGTTGCGGGTAGTGACAGTGATCACATCCATACTCCCGCCTATTCCATTCATTTTCTGTTACACACATTTTTCATCTTTTTTTGTACAATGATAACTGTGTAGTATACCACCCAGTTGTGCTAGGTGGTACTGGGTATGTACATATCACTTGTACCTGATTAATAAAAATAAAAAAAGAATAAAAGTATGAGATCAGGGGCTGTGGGACTACACTCACTTTGTACAGGATGGTTTAATTTACAGAGAGACTGTTAGGATTTTTTTATATCACACCAATTAGGAAGAAAATCGATCATGTCCTAACTTGCGATATTTAAAGGTTCATTTTTCAAGTGGTAGGATGGGAGTTTTGTAGGAAACAATAATGGAAGTAGGCTTGATAAATTTACTATATAAAACAATTATATTTATTTATACCAAGAGAAATATTATGATAAAGAATACAAAATAACATACTTGATTACCTAATATTAAAATAACACTATATAAGTTCCAAATTTCGATACAAGAATAATGCAACTATTTAATCTATCATACCTTAAAGTTTACACTTATTCGCGTTGAGAGAGTTTTACAATTATTTCATTCATTACCTGGGGATGTAGTGCAAGAACATTTTCTTTTCATAGAGAAGACTTCTTGTCTCATTCTTCCCTAATGGGATTGATGTATCAAATGTAAGGTGGGACAACAGGTAACTTATTTACATGGTTAAATGGCACATGTCTAACGACATGAGATTCATAACAAAAAAGTCTGGATAAAAGGTGACTTCTGTCTTTTATACCAAATCAGTGGACCAATGAAGGGTGTTCATGATTCATTTCTGTCAACTTTCATTTTAGAAGGAACTCTCCTCTTTTTCTGTGAATCAAAGGAAGTTAAAGATGATGTACATCGATAAACTTTCCTTCTTTTTCAAGTGAAAAATAATACTCTAAATGAAATTAATTTTTTAAAACATTTTAAACATCAAAATGTTCCCTAATATAATCCTGGTTCTCACAAAAGTAAGAAAATTTAATGATTCCTACAAGACCTATTTTTATTAAATATTACATATGTACATATACTTTTTTGTCAATAATTCTCTTTAACAAAAAATTAAAGTTTTAGTTAAATTTTTATATTCTAATTTGTATCAAATTAAATTATTATTAATATATTTTTCAGTGCTGGGAAGAAGGAATTCCATTATGTAAAGAATTAGCTGAACTATATGAGAAGAAATTATTTGATTATTCAAAATTGAGTTTTATTCTTGTAAGTTTTGAAATGAAACAAAACTGCAAAAAATGATTAATCAAGTTAATGAGAATATTATGTTTATTTTCCTAGAAAACGCAAGCAAAATTTTTTGATAATGTTTTAACCCAAATTAGACCTGAGCCAGAATATTTCAGAGTTGGGTATTATGGCATAGGCTTCCCTCTTTTCTTACGAGTAAGTAATTTTTTTTGTTTATGACAAATTTAGGTTTAAAATTAATAAAAACAATTATTGAAAATTAAACTTAATGATTTAATAATTTGACCTTTATTTAATATCTGATTATATTATATTTTGAGACACCATGAAGTGTTGATACTAGACACCAGACTTTTTCACATCCACTTTATTTTCTGATGTATTTTACAGTGTATAAACCAATTGTTTCAAATGCCAATATGTGTTTCGAGTTATCATCCCTCATCTGTTGGCTAACAATATTTATTAGTACATAGTGTTAGCAAAATTATTGCTTTACAAAGGTTTTAATTTTTAGACATATCTGATATAAGTTTTATACAATGGTTGTAAATGTATTGTTGACATATATAAAACCAAACACCACCGTTTATTGTAAAGCAGTTAAAAATTCTTAAAATTATACAATGCTACATTTTAGAACTATATTTTTTCAATAAATATTTTACATACTTTGAATAAAAATTTAAAAAGAACATTGGTGCAATTTCCATTTTAAAAATTACCTGCAGAGTTCTATTTTTACATTGGTATATTTTACATACAGTATGGATAACAATGCAAATAACATAGGACAGAAGCCAAAATAATGAAGAAGACATTTTCAATTATTTTGGCCTGTTAATATAACTTTTATGTATTTTTATCTTGTGAGTTTAATTGAAACACCAATTGAAGAGAGAGAGACTATTTTAGAGTCCAAAATGCATTTTGGATGTATTTTATATATATTATACATATTAGTTTTAATTATTGTACAATCTCGTTTTGTAAACTTAAATATATATTAAATACAGTAGAGCATTGATTATCCGACTCAATTGGGGACTCAGGTTGGTTGGATAACTGAAAAAATCGAATAACCGAAAAGAATGAAAAAAATACATTATTAGTATAGTATATTAGTATATCCCATGTAATTAGTATATTAGTATATCGTTAACCTACTTCGCATTAAATTTCCATCGATGTTAAGCCTAACAAAATTTTTTTTAAATAATAATTGTCGCTATTGTATCGTTAAAAATTATTTTTTAAATTATTTTATTGCTCACAAAACAAACAACCACTCATAATTAGAAAATTAAGTCTCGTTTAAATACTGGCCACACTTTAATGGTCAAGCCATGTTGCCAGCTAAAATACGCAAAAATTTGTCAAAAATAATATTAAAGTAGCCAAGACATAGCCAAATATTGTAGCGCCACATCACTAGCGGACATTTGAAATTTGCCGACTAGAATGGTCAGTTAACTGATGTGACAGTTAATCGGGGGTCGGATAATCAATGCTCTACTGTATAAGAAATTTTTGTGTTCACATTCACTGGTGTGATAAGCCCTAACATAAATAACTGGTGTAAATTAGTAGAAAAGTTTAAATATTTATCTAAAATATATAAAATGATGCTTCTTCTGAACTTTACCATTGTTATTTGTTGTCAAATTTTCTATATTATGTGTTCTTTTGAAAAAAGTAAATGATGGCAGATGACTGATATTTAATATAATTTCCTAAAATTGACATCAACTCATATCATTTGAAAACAAATGATTTCAAATGATAAGAGTGACAAATAATTTCAAATGATGCTTTTACTACAACTATTAATGAACTATAGGGAGAAAAAATGTCTGAGATCATATCTTATAAATTGAATCATGGGTTAAGAGACATATTTTGAATGGCAATTTCAGATGATTCAGAATATAAGGTATTGCAGGTTATATAATGCTTTTATTTTTGTTTTAGCAATTTTTATATAGTTTTTTTTTGTGGATTATATGTAATATTTCATATCTGATTACTGTTGGTTGATCATTCTGCAGAAGTTGCTTCTGTTTACATCTATTTTATGCATTTTTATTTTATGTTTCTAAGGCTCATAAAAGATTGTTAAAACCTACATAAAATGAATTATTATCTTTGTATTCTTCAGTGACACCAAATTACAGTATTTGATGTCATACTAGCAGACCCCACCACGCGTTGTTGTGGCTCAAAATGTATCTATTATAAATGTATAATTTCCCCCATGGGGGAAAATTTTTCAAAAAATTTCTTCTTAGTGTACATTCTCTTGACGTACCCTATTAAAACGCAATCAAAAACGCAAAAACCCGCATCTAAAATAGTATAAATAGAAGTAGAGTTCTTTACGGTAAGCTTTAATCCTAACCATCTCCCTTCAGTGGGGGGGAATTTCGACATGTATATTATATAAAAACACGTGCGTATTCGAATACAGCATTGTGTCAAAATGTCAAAGGAATTGGTAGGAACAAACAAACATTAAATTTTTATTTATATAGATAGATAGAAGATGATCTGCTTTAGTTCATTTTCACAGAAAAGTGTAATGCCTCACAGAAAAGCAAACTTAGGGCATTGTACTCGTAGTGCCATCTGTTGGACATAAAAGCCTTAACCTAGATTATATCTTTTAATTTATAGGAATGTTTAACGGAATAATATATAGCCTATGTCCACTCTGAAGTTCCATTGTAAATATTGGTGAAAGAATTTTTGAAATTGGACGAGTAGTTTCGGAGATTACCTGTTACATCCAAACTTACTTACAAACATTACCTCTTTATAATATGAGTATAGATAAGATGTGACTTTTATTCAGAACAAAGCTGCTCTCATTTATATAGAATATTTTAATGGTAAATCACTTCTTTTGGAAAAACATGAGTTTAAAAGTGTACATTCTAATTTTACTTTTTTTTAAAACCAGAATACAATAAATAAATAAGTGCTGAGTGCCAAAAGTGCAGTAGGCTTAAATGCATTAATTACTTTTTACTAAATAATTTGTGCTGAAATAGAAATGCCTGTACATGCCATAAAATATGGTGACATTAGAAATATTGATAAAATTTGAATAAATGATTCTTGTTAGGCATGTTAGAAAGTTATAACTTAAAATCACATTAAAGATGAAATAAATTGTATTATTTTATAATTTAAGGTAATAAATCTACATTTATATAATAAAATTTAATGTTTTATTTTTATATTATAATGTTAATTGAATTTTTTGTTAATATTTATTTCAATAATTTTATATTAAATTTAACATTTTAAATTGATTGATTATAGAATAAAGTATTTATTTATCGTGGATTGGAATATGAAAGAATTGAAGCATTCACTCAACGACTACAAACTGAATTTCCACAAGCTCAAATCTTGATGAAGAATACACCTCCTGATGATAGCATTATGAATTCAGATGGACAATGTATCCTTTTTAATAATTTTTACAATTGTTTATAATATACTTTCATATCAGCATCAAATAATAAAATTTGTATATAAACATTAATTGATATGTCATTCTAATGTAATTGCTTGAGTATATCACAATAATTATGTGACAATGCCGAAGAGCCCTCTCTTCAGCACCATAGGACCGAAGGATCGACATTATGTCGGCAAAGACTGCAATGACAAATTTATCAGAACTGATACTACTGTGTCTTCTGGGTAGACACAGAGACCGTTACGTTCACATTTACATGCAGGCAGTTGCGTCTGTGGGCAGTTGGACTCGGGATGGAAACCGCTTGAGGAAGTGCACCCAACACAATTCTAACAATAACAAAATTAGTTTATTAAACTAGTTCTACAGAAGGGTATTTATTTTAAAGCTTCTTCACGAGAACAGAGTTGGAGAGAGAGAGCTTACATAACATCGCAGGTCGTTATAAATATCTGAAACACTATGTACGGATTTCCAGATGTCTGTGGAGTTGTTGAGGAGCTTTGGGAATGCCTCTGTTGCCTTGGTTGGTAGTTAAAGTCTATCAAAAGTTGAGATACATTAGTTCTTCGTAGGTATTCCCACAGAAACACTGGATATTCGGGAGAAGCACGCGGTGAGGAGCAATGATGATAAATCTTTTCGGCTGGCACACAGGGAATATTCTCGCGGACTCTCGACCCCTCTCACTGTTCCTTCAGGTCTTCTCTTTATTTCCAAGTCACGTTGTCGTTTTCCACCAATAGTGAATTTTTTGTTGTAGTTCCCAGTGACACATTCTGAGTTCCTTGGGAAAGGAAACGACTCCGGGAAGAGAAATACACTCATCCTCCAGTAATAAAATGAAAAAGGTTTTTTTTTTCTCTGAGATTTAAATAAATTTCCTTTTCAAACCGAAAAATGAATTTTCTTTCGAAAAATTCCCGAATAAAATTGTGGGTTTTCCCCTTTCCAAGTCCGATCTCTCACAATTATATGCAGCAATGAATGAAAATGTTTTGTCTTATTCATTTTTGCAAGATTAGTTTTTATCTATAAAATGATGTTTAACAAATAATTATTTTAGAAATGAAATGAAACTCTTTCTTTCAGTGATGATCAAATTCCAAAACTGTATTGCTTCAAACTCATTTCAGTTCAGTATTATTATGATATAGTTGCTATTCAATTTTCTGTGAATTCATTTTTCTTAGCTTTCAATTTAATAATGTCATTAGCATTAGCATGCACTATATTATCAAAAGTATTCAGAACATTGTTATGGCAAGTACGAAACTTAGTGTTTATCTTGAATTGTCAGTTTCCATAATTTTGCTATAGAGGTATTATCGGTCTTCTGTTTTTGAACATGCAGAAATTTACAGTAATTGATGATGTCAAAATGGCTTGCAATATCAAATATTGGAAGTTTACTGATACAGCATCCAGCAATTCTATGCTGTCTGTAAGTTGATGTCCCTATAATTTCTAGGTGTGCATAGCATTATTACTGTTATCTGAGGTATTAACTTTTTATGTTGAACTCTTAATGGCACAAAATCTGTCTTAGCAAATACATAATGGAGAGTGGACAGAATTTGAATAATCCAATAAATATTTTTGATAATGTAGTGTAATGAATTTTATCAAAAAATTATTTTTAATATTAGCTGGTATGTTCTTTTGATATAGCTGCATTCAATTTCAACTAGAGAGTAGGGATCTGAATGTTGAACAGTAAACAAAAGTGGAATGGTATATGAATGAACTTTTGTGATGCTATTATAAAATTTATGAAGGGAAAATAACTTACAAAATAAATCACAGTAATGAGTTCCTTGTTAAAAGCTACACCCAGGATTTCTATTTCTAGAAGTCATTTCCCTTTTTCAGTCATTTCTCTTACTCAGGCCATCTGAAACTCCTGGTAACTCTGCTGATGACATTGATGACCTGGTACCATTATCACCCTTTGAAGGATATTATGACTAAAATATTAATCTGAATGACTTTTTTTAAATGAATGAAATTTAATTTTTCTGGTACAGCATTTTAATAATTTTTGCTGTTTATATTTTTATGTTCTGTAATATGTAGGAGATGCATATTAAAGTAAAGTTATCAAGTTGGAGTTTTCTTTAGATCATTTCTTTATCAAGAATAAATAAAACAATTAAGCTCCTCATTTATTGTTCTAGTCTTAGGAACAGAACTTGGTCATTAAGTGAGGAGTACCTGTATATTATCTGAAAATGTAATGAGAATTAATGCAAATATCATATAAAGATCAAGATTATATACTGTATTGCTGTTTTATTATTGTAGTGAAGCTTATGTACTACAGAAGTTGATTAATCTATAAATGAAAATGCATCTAGACAATATAAAAACTAACCATTAATAGGAAGGATGTAACTTTATTTTAAAATATTTGAAACACATTAATTTTTTTATTTGAGTTAGGTTACATCATATGACACAAATTCAAATTCAAGTTAGTAAAAATTATTAAAAATAATATTTTTAATAATTTTTGTCATCTGTCTATTGTAATAAGTTATATGAAATATTAGTTAGTCCTAAGTTATAATTTTATTGTGCTAATAAAATATTCAGTTTGTTCATATTTTAATTTAATAAAATATAAAAGCAAAAAGTAAAATTAGAAATAACTATATATGTAGCTATAAGTTACAACATTTTTGGCATACATTATGTCATCTTTCAAGTATCATATACCACTGAATGAAATAGTTGTTTAAAATATTTTAAGCTTAAATATGTGAATAGAGAGCATCCTAAATTTATTTTATTCTGTTTTAGATTACTTTGCCCAATAGAATGTAATATAAAGAATTTAGTTTTGTTCTGACAGTTTGGAATGCTTGTCAATAATAATCATAATGTCTGAAAATCAAAAATTATGTATTCCAAATTTTTTAATAAACTGATACATGACTTCTTCAAGTTAATAGTTTATGAAAGAATTTTCTACGTTATAGAAACAAGTTAACTTAACAATGGGACATATCTTTTTAAAGTTATTCATTACCATTATTTATGAAATTTTATCTTAGATATACTTAAATTTTATGAATTAACATCTTTTTTTTACTTTCAGTAAAATTTTCTATAGAATTTCAATAGTTCCTATTTGTAATGCATGCATTTTTCTTTTGCAGTAAATATTCTGTGTAATTTTGTATATATTTTTTTATATGTTGTTGAATTGCTGAAATTTTATTTCCTATATAAAATAAATTCTTAATAAATTAGTTGCTTTAACAATAGATATTCCATAATAAAAGAAAAGTACACTTCATGCCAACATTTAACATTTCACAACATGCTAGTGAAATTATGTTATAAAATATAAAATAGATATTCCTTTAGTTGACTTTAAAATGCAATTTAATATTTATAAATATATACTTTAAAAACTTGAGAAATGTAAGTAAATTCTTTAGGAATTTCCTTAATTTATTCAGATATTCAAATTTGTAATGTAAAGCCTTTGCCAAAATTACATCCAGAGTTTGAAGGACATGACATTCCTGATAAAATTCTTAGCTATTATTTAATTAATGATGTGAAAACTTTTCAGTTTGATAGACCACTGCATAAAGGTCCAGTTGATAAAGAAAATGAATTTAAGGTAAAATCTTAATCTATTATGCTGAACTAATAATAGAATTTTTAAAGTTATAGATTAATTAAACAGTGGTTCCCAATCTACTGAAATCTAAGTCTTGAGTCACATTTTTCTATAAAAGTTGTTTGAATTGTGAAATATTTTTAATTTCATTTAGTATGGTAGTTTTTATTGATGTTCGTTATACTAGTATCTTATAAAATTAAAAGTATTCAGAATTATGTTGAAAATAATACTTTGTCACTTTTTCATTAATGCATTATTTAAATTTATTGATATCTGTAGCATTCTATGATTAATTTATATTATTTTTTAGAGTCTTTGGATTGAAAGAACAACTCTAACAATAGCATCGTGTTTACCTGGAATTCTGAGATGGTTTGAAGTAATTGAACGTCACTTGGAAGAATTATCACCAATTGCTCACGCATGTGAAAGCATAGAACACATGAATCAGGAATTACGCCGTCTAATTGGACAATATTCAACCGATCCTCGCAGATCAATCAGCCCACTTAGCATGCGACTCCAAGGAGTTATAGAAGCTGCTGTAAATGGTGGAATAGCAAAATATCAAGAAGCTTTTTTTACGCCTTCTTTCTTATCACAAAATTCGGAACAAGCAGATAAAATAGGTCGTTTAAAAGCATTAATTCTTGAAAAGGTAAAGTATTTTTTTTACATGTTTAACTAAAATTTAAGAATTGTCAATATTTAAAAATGTTTTTATCTTTGTTTAATATTTAAAAACTGTAAGCTTGTAAAGAAAATATTTTCAAAAGATAAAGATGAGTTTTTTATTAAAGGATCTTATTATAAGTTTTTGTATTATCAGTATGTTTATTTTAATTTGGTATTAGATCAGTGATTATATATAATTCTATAATTGAAAAGCAGATTCCAAATATAACTAAGCAAATTAACCCATGGTTCCAATAAATAACCAATATTAAATTTAATTTTGACCAAATTTTCTCACAACTATGTACTTTCTTATAGAAGATTTGAAATTAAATATTTTACAAAACAGTAACTTTTTTAAGAAATTTGATCACTTGTATATTTTTCAGGGCTATTGAGTTGGAAAACTATGCCCCAACTCCAACTCATAGAATTTTGGAAGCATTTTTTAAGTGAATTACCAGGCATTCCTATTGAAACCACTGAAAGTATCTAATTATATATATATTTCACAGATCAATGTGAGGACTGCACTTAAGAAAACAGTTTCTTACACTCATATGTAGATTTTCTGAATCATGTATACATTATATGTCTGAATCAAAGGAAGAAAAACTCAATGAATACTGTGAAGGTTCAAAACCCTTTTGTTTTAGAACAGTATCACCCCTCTAATAAGCCTAGTGATTAGGTGAAAAGGGAAAAGGGGGGCCTTCTGCGGTCAATGACCGAGACAATCTCCTTGAAAAAAATCGTTAGTATATTAATAAAAGAAATCTCCTCCATTTGTTTAACGTTAATTTTATAGACGTTAATATTAACAAGACTGGAATAAGAGATGGTTCCTATCCCCTCTTTGGTTGCATGTGACATGTGGTTACAGCAATAAATCACCTCGTTCATAGTCAAATGCGATGTTTAATATAAACAATATCTAGATTGTTGATCAGTTTACAGAAATTATTGTCAGATGAATGTTAATTTATGGATGAGAGCCAGTCAAACCTATAGAAATTTATATTATAAAATCATATCTTCTAGACACTGATATCAATAAATTAAACAAACTTCTTTGTGCCAGTGGTCCGTACTAGCTAGATCCAGACATCAACACACGAACAGGTGTGCGTATAAATCATTAATGATGTCATAGTTCTCACCCCCTCAAAAAATAGTATAAAGAGGGCTTGGACGGAATCCACAAGGCAGACATCGACTGCCACATCTACTGACCCATACATCACCCTATCTGTCACTACCTCGCCATAACTGCCGTGACGATCCAGGAACGTTGTTACCAATGACCCATATTACGGATTGAGAACTTAGAGATATTTTTTTTTTTTTTTGGATATCTATTTGTATACTCTCTCTCTGAGAAGTCTCTTTCCTAGAGATCTCTTGCTCATCTCTTAATTTAACTTAGAGAATAGAAATTAGATGTTCCATATGAAAGATGAATCATTATTGCGATGTAGAATAGAATTTTTGTAACTCTTCACCTTTGCCTTTGATATATAGAATTTTATAGTTGTTTATTAAATGTGTTATTCTTGTTTAACCTGTGTATTTATTTGGGAACCTGTCAACTTGCTCATTAACCTCCCCACTCATTTTATTTTGCCCTCCTATAAAGCCATCCTCTGACAGAGCCGTCGGTAAGTGGGACAACTAACCCCTCGGTTTTCACAGTAGTGTTAATAAAAAACTATTAATGCCATATACAGTGAGTTTTTCTTCCCTTGATTTAATATTTGGCATGAAAATCAAACTATATTGTATTATATGTCTGAATAATAAATATCATGTGCACATGAATAAATGTGTTCATTGATTGCAAAACTTGCAGAAACTTTAATCTTAACAAAGTGTAATTATGCTCTCTATCATCATACTGATTAAAGAGCACATGTATACAAATTAAAAAGTTATAGCAGCATCAGCATGTTCAAATTACATATAACTTATCAAATTTTGCAAAAGTACAAAAACCTTTGGTAATCTGGCACCAAGTGTGCAAAACTTGTACTGTAGTTTTAGCAAAATATAATATAATATAGATTAATTACAATATAAAATTTAAAGCATTAATATACGATTATAAATATTCATAATATAAATAATCCTTATTGTTTATTTATTTCTTTAATTTGATATTAAATTTATATATTTATTTTTGGCAGGTTTGTTCCATTAAGTTAAAATGTAGAAATTAAAATCATTTTGAGCTTTATTATATAATATTTAAGTTTTTATTATGTTTGCTGTTTCAAGTTATGAAAATATTATGCATTGAGAATACAAAACTGCTTGTTTATAATAGTAATTGAAGAAAAAGTATATTGACACTAAATTTTAATACTTTAATTTATAGGTTCAAATACTTGAAGGTGGTTTATCACTTCATGGTAGACTTGCTCCACAAGAAGTTCTTCCATTGCATAGGAGACTGGTTGATAGATTTTCTGTGATGAAACAATCAATTCGAGATTCTGATTCTCCTTGTATCTCTCGAATTTCAACAAGTCGCAGAGGAGAGCTACCAACACCTCCAATTTTAGATTCAGATAATCGACGTCCATCTATTGTAAAGTAAGTCTAATCAATAAATATTAAAGTGATAATTATTCTGTGAATTAATAACATACAAAATAAAGATCTGGACTTTCTTCTTGTTTTTAACATATGCATTTCAAACATCATACATTTATTCTAGCCCATATCCCTTTTTAGCTTTAGTTAAAGCAAAGGACAACTTCAGATTGCTGTACTTTTAAATCAAGAGTCTATAATGATCATAAATCAACTTACTGAAATTTAGATGTTACTGTTTCTATTTTTCTTTCTGACAAATTGATTGTTTTTCTTTTATATACAAACTTAAAAATCACTTAATTTATAAGTTTTCATAATGATGTTGTTACACACGAGTCAGGTTTCTCTTTAAAGAAAGTCTGACAATGTCAGAAAATTTCCCAATACAAAGCAGAAAAATATTGTCTGCATATTCTTATGTATACAACCTAGAGCATGACATTTTTTTGTTTTTTGTAATCTCAAATGAATGAAATAATTTCCTATAAAATGTTATTTTGCTCTCAAGATTAAATTGTAGCAAAAAACTTTTTGTTTACATCTGTGATTCCAAAAATGGACACTACCACCCTGGACCCTGGTGATAGTAGAAGACTCAAGAGCTGCTGAAATACAAAGGGAAAATTCACTTTGAAATAAAATAATAATACTATTGAACTTTACAGTACAGTGTAAACAGATACTGTAAAATCAATTTTTGAGATATTTAACTTTCTACATAGAAGGTGTAGAAATAATGCTTCTCTTTGTAAATATGATGAAAAAAATACACAAGTTGCAGTCATATGAGTTGAGCAAACTAAATGTGTACAATGTTTATATGATGTGGCACTTGCTCATGCACTTTCAAGTCTTGTTTAATATAAGTATAATGTTTCATGAGGATAGCTCTTAATTAATTTGTGCATACAAAACCAATGAACATGCACCAGCCTTCTTTGTTCTTTGATATTCTGCAGGTGCTATTGGCATTTCTACATTTTTGTGGGTACTAATCAAGTGGTAGTAGTTGCAATATGTAGTTTGCTATGTATTATTGGTAATATTTCATTTACATCAAGACATTTTGTAAGCAAATTCTCTCTATTTTAACTGGTAGCATTTTACTACTAACTATTAAAGAAATTAGATTTTATTACCATATTTTTACAGAATGACCGTTATGCCAGTCTATCTGGGGAGACCATGAAATCAGATATTTCTGTATGGTAAAAACTGGCATGCCAGTTTAAACCAGGTTATAGATACCTGTCTAGAGGGTGCATTAAAAAAACAAATGAGTTTTTATTCCAAAACTGTGAAACTGTCAGCATTAAATCAAAAACTATGATTATACATTTAATTTCTTTCTAACAGCATAAAAATAGCATTTTCAGAATTCTAAGAGTATTTTATGTGTATTTTATTGTTATTTGATTCAAAAATGCAAAAATAAACACATTAAATTTAGAAACTTTCCATAAATTATTTCAGCTTACCTTAGTTACAAATGATCTGATTAACATTGGCTTTGTGTGAAATGTAAAAGGAAGGTGTTATTTTTAATGTTGGAGTAGATGGTCAGTGTAGCCCATATTGACTAACTACCAATGTCAATAAGTCATTAATTGTTTTATTTTGTCTTGTGAATGAAAACTCCTTCCTGATTTTAAGTCACTCAAATTATGATGTTATTATTTTATTGTACTCTGAAGAATGTTTTCTGTAACATTTAATTAACAACTAGTTTTGTTAGATCTGATTAATTTTATATTTTAGTTGCAGTTTAACTGGCATGCTGGTCTCCCCTGTTTATGTGTGGCATGCCAGTCATTCTGAAAAAAATGGTATGAAATTATTAACTCATAAAACTATTCCCAATTTTAAGCTTAGTGATATTGTGATTTTATTAATCGTATGTACGGTAAGATAGCATACATGGTGATGTTAAGCTTTTATTTAAATAAAGCTGAAATACTGGCAGAATGAACCTTGTTCTTTCATTTTGACAAGTTTAACTATTACGCTGGATCATGCAATATCCATGAAACTTTTATCATAATTGTTCTATTCTAAAGTTTTGTGATGAAAGTGTTGCCAATTGCTTGTTCATGCAGTATTGTGCTGTCAAGTAGCAGGAGGCCACTGGGATGATCCCTAATGACCACTTACTCTGCACGGGTTGGTAAAACCTGCTCTCAGTTTGTCAGATGGCTTAGGAGGGCAAATCGAGTGGGAGGGGTAGTGAGGTCGTGACAAGGTGTCTGAATAACTACACAGGTTGAACAATAACAACACATTTACTAAACACTTAAGAGATTTTACATATCAAAGGAAAAAACATAGATGACAGACATATAAACAATAAAAGGTTTCTATTTTATATCTACGCTTTATCGTAAACTAAAGAATGAGAGAGACCTCTCTAAGAGAGACTGTTGGAGAGAGAGACTACATTTGGTCAAGGGTTTACCTTGTAGGATTTGATCTTGTCATATAGGGCATTGGTAGGACGCACTGGGATCGGAGGTTCCTAATCGTAGTTTCCCGTGGATGGCAATAAGGAGCGATGGACGGTATAGCAGTATGGAGCTGGTGTCCCTGGATGTCTGCTCGGCTATGTCTGATGTGGGTGTATGCTCCGTTGATCTCCGAATGTAGAGGTCTGCATGGAGATGTCCGCTGAGGATGGCTACTTGGCGGTGTCCTCTTCGGCTGTCCGCTGAGGGTGTTGATTTGGCGGGGCCCTCTTCGGCTGTCCGCCCGGAAGTGCAAATTCAACTCCTTTTTATACTTATCTCGGAAGGGAATCATGGGGGAAGAAAATCTGATGCAATCACCAGCTCGACCTGCATATAGCTGTGTTTATGTTACCATCAATAATTTTCCTTCCAAATTTCCTTCCAATAATTGACATCTTCCCATCATAAATTTGTCAAACTCCCTGATTTATTGACATGAGGTGACTCATGTCAGACTATGTCTCACCCCCTTAGCAAAATCGTTGCCTTATTTGGTCATTTAGATTGACTTTCTCATCGGTTCACTCGGACTTAGAGGGCACCTTATATTTATGTAAGACTCGAACTATTTCCTGGTGTGAGGTGAGTCCTTCTTCAGACGATTAAAGTCACCTTCGATGTGACGCAGTACACAATGTGTGAAGATTCACACTTGCGTCTGAATTCTCACACTGCTGTAATTCTCTTTGGCATGGACTGTATGAGATGTTGGTAAGTGGCTGGAGGAATCTGATATCATATCCATTTTCCAGTCCACTAAGAATGGATGATTCTGGATTCAGCTGCCTGATGCCTCTTTTGATCTCATCTCACAAATGCTCAACTGGATTGAGATCTGGTGATTGTGGAGGCCAACTAAGCAGTGTGAAGTCTCCATCATGCTCTTCAAGCCATCTTTGGACAATTTGAACTTTATGACATAGAGCATTCTCTTGCTGAAGTATCCATCTCCAGTGGGGTAGGTTATTAACATAACTGGATGTACTTGGTCAGTGACAATATTTAAATACCTTTGGACATTCAGACATTGTTTCACACAAAACAAAGGGCCTACACAATGCCAGGAAAACATCCCCCAAACCATAACATTGCCTCCACCAGCTTGAAGTTTTGTAGCAGTGCACATAGGGTCCATGTTTTCATGCTGTTTTCACTCTGCTATCTGCATGTTGCAATTGAAAATGTGATTCAATTGCACATTACCCTTTTCCAGTCATTTACTGTCCAATCTTTGTGAACAAGTGCAAATTAGAGTTGTTTGATCTTGTTAGCTGCAGACGACAAAGGCTTTTGAACAGTCCTTTGGTTTCCATACCCAAGATGATGTAATGTATGACGAACAGTTCTTTCAGAGGCCATTGGAGATGTACTGTAACTTGACTAAGACCAGCTGTAATCTGATGTAATGCTGCTCTTCTGTTGGACTAGACAAATCTGGCAACTCTCCTTTCAGCTCGAGCATCTAGCAGCCGAGGATGACCATATGCCTTACATTGAGACCTGCTTTTTTGTTTGGTAGTCCACTCATTGTACACTTGAACAATAGCTGCTCTCAAACACTTTAAAATGACAGTTTGGCTGATACTCCACTGCTTCTAGCACCCACAATAATTCCACATTCAAAGTCTGTTAAATCACGTTTTTTACCCATACCTTCACATGCAATACCCTTCAATTGTCTATACAATTATCTAGCAATCCCTCTTTATAACAATCTTGCCCTGTGATTGGCAATAGCATGACATCATAGCTGATTTGCATAAACTTTGCAGGTGGTCATAATAAATTGGCCACTCAGTGTGTGCACTAAAAGGGAGTAGTAGTCTAAAAAGTGGTTTACATCATAAATTTTCTATTTTTTCTATAATTTTTTATTAATATAAAAAAACAAGAGAAATCAAATAAATAATTTTGTCTATTGTATTTTCAGATTATTTAAAGATAATGATAATATAATACAATGCCTTACATTTTATTAGAATATGAGAAATTTTGTTTTTGTGATTTATATTTAAATTAATAATAACATAACAGTCACATGATAAATTTAAGTAAAAGTATAAAGATATGCAAAAAGTTTTAAAATCACATTTTTTCATAACATACAAATTTTAATTCTGTGTATATGTCATTGCTCATTGTTGTGAATTCTAAAAATTATTGTTGTTTCAAATGCACTATTTTCTAAGTACTATTATTTCAAGATTTTACTGTATGTCAAAATCAAAAGTAGTAATGAAAAAAGTAGTAGAAATTTATCTACATACAAAATACAATATTAATTTATTCTGACCAATTTATTAATCTTCTCTTTCAAAATCATTATTTTAGCACGCCTCTGCCTCCAATTCCTGGGGAAGTAATATTAAAGAAACCTGTTGAATCATGCGGAAGTAATCGTTCGTCATCATCCGGATCAGGTATTTATGGACACTTTTTGCCAGAAAATTCTGACGATGAAGATATCTATAGTAGGCCTCAAGATTATTCCGAACATAAGTTTCCATCCGAAAGACCGTCACCATTATCTCAGCCATTAATAAATCAAAACTCTCCTGTGTTATCACCTACAGTACCTCCACCTTTGCCTACTAGACCACATTCTGTTGCTTTGGGTCCTTTGCCAGAATCAAAGGTAAATTAAAATTTAACATGTATATGTTTAATCATCATTGAATGTTTATAAATAGAATTTATTTTGTGGAGAAAGTAACTCTTTAAAGTATGTTTACCTGTATTCCTCCTAAACCAACTCAAAATTTATCTTATTTGTCATTTCCTAATTTTTGTCTTTATTTTGTTGTTATAGCAATTTTAAACATGGATTCTTTTTTATTTTACTTTTTTTAAATCTAAATGTAAAAACAATACTTTATCATTGCAATTATTTTATTATATATACTGTACATCTTATTTTTATGTTATAATTTTTAAGATATATATTATACACAGCTACAAAATGTATAAAATTTATCAAATTTTATCTCATAACTTTGACTATATATATAATAAAATATTATGTTCTGTTACTTACATTTTTATGGATGAATGGTTTTTTTATATTAGAGGTAGTAATTCCATGGTAGAGGATTATTACTTAGCTCAAACTTGGTCATAAAATGAATTTTAAAAATTTATTTGCTAAATAGTTTTGTTAAATTCAAAAAATGTTCTGTTGAAGGATATTTTAAGATTGGTAATGTGGATATTATTATTATTTATATATATATAATACTCCAATGTAGTACTGTACTTAAATAAAATTTTTTGCAATTTATTTAAAAGTTGTGTAACTTTCCAGCTGTTATGAGATTTTATAAAAAACTTTCTATGTTATTATTATAAAATGGCAAAAGGCTTAATTTTGAGGGTAGAGATGAGTTTTATAAAAATCTGTAAATACTAATGAGTAAAATCTTTATTAAGTCTGACCTCACTTGAAATATGACTCATGACCCTCTCAACCTTTCAGAACCAAAATTTAATAGCATCAATATCCCTTATACACAAGATATTGTGCTAAATTTTGTTTCTTAATCATAGATACTAAATGAAGTAGATGTCAACATACATGCAAATTTTGTTTTTTGTTCAGAGGTCTCAAACATGGATATTTGCAAAAAATCTCTGAGGGTTAAATTGACATGATTCCAATACTTCTCCTTGTTATGTATACATAACAGCCAGGAAAGTAAAACCTAAAAAATATGAGTCAAAAGTTTTTATAAAATTATTTAATAGATATGAATAGAAAGTGATCTTATGGAATACTTATCTCAGTTGTAGAACTTTAATGTTTCAAAGTTATGTAACCTGAACAACCTTATATTTTTATAAGAAAAATTAGTTGGGCTTGATTGTGATATTGGGGAGCTTCAGAGAAGTTTTATCATTTAATGCCATATCAATAATTTGTCATTTTATGCTATGACATATTACAGTTAGCTTTGGGAAATCTCATCAAGTAGTCAAATTTATGAAAAGATAAAAGACTAATAATTGTTTTTTAAACTTTTGCATAATCCTTAGTCATCAACAGAGACCAGACTAGGATTATGATATTTTCCTGGCTGTTATGTATGTATAACAAGGAAAAATATTGAAATTGTGTCAGATTTGACCTTTCAATTTTTTTTGCAGATTTCCAAGTTTTTATGCCTCCTGAACCCAAAAAATGGGGAAAAAATTGTGTGTGTTAAAATTTCTATTTCATTTAATATCTCAGAAATGAGTAAAAATTAAGAAACAAAATTTGGCATGGTATCTTGTGTACAGTACAAGGGGCATTGATGCTATTAAATTTTGGTGGTTAGAACTCAAGGGAGTGAGAAGATAGAGGGGAATTGTGTCCTATCTTGACGTCTTAATATGTGACACACAACTTGGATGTTAAGATTTTACTTGTTATCAACATTTACAATTTTCTATAAAACTCATCTCTACCCTCAAAATTAAGCATTTTGCTATTTTATAATAATTAATAACATAGAGAGTTTTTAATAAAATCTCATAACAGTCAGGAAAGTTTTGCTAGTCATTGCAAGATTTTTTTTGTTTGAATTTCAACTATGATTATATCTAATTTTCTTACTGCAATTAATTAGAAACAAAGAAAATTCATTCAGAATAGCAATTATAAAAAAGGACTGTATTTTAATGATAAAAAAAATAGACTTAGTGCTGTTTTAAATTTGATTTCCTATTATCTGCATTATATTGACAATGACATAAAAGTATTTACAATACAATAAATACATGCAATTACTAAAACAATAAAGCTTTTGGAATATTACTTAATTGTGATCTAATTATAAATTTTATTTAAATTATAAAACTAGTTCATAATTAGTTCATAAATACATTTTCACTGGTGTCATTATTTCTTAAATTTACATTGGGTTATATCATAATAAAACAAGTTTTTAAAATTTATTCAATGTAAGTATTGAATTAAAATAATTACAAAATTGTAAAATAAGAAAAACATATATTATGATTTTTCTAACTCAGATGAGACATACACTTGTATGAATATAGTGAAGTGCAATTCAAAATAGTATGGTACTTGCAATGCCTGATTTAGGGTTATGAGCCCTGCAGGCTGCTAACATTTTGTGCACTCTTTACAAAAATCATATTTCCTTCCTAATACAATTTTTTTTTTGTATTATTGTAGTAAGAATTTACCAGAATTAATTCCACTAAAATTGTGTAATTAATTTTGGTAAACTGATGAAAAAAGCAACTTTTTTACTACTTTATCATACAATATTTCTTTTTAACAGACCAAAAAATAAAAGCTTAAATAAAAAAATTGTGACCCCAGGCTATAGTCAGTCAGCCTGTTCAATAATAAATTTTTATTCTTTCTAACTTCTCAAATTTTTTGGTTTTTTTTCCCTGCATTAATAAACATATCTTGAATATTAATATTTGATATTAATCAATTTTAATCAATAGGTGCTTCCTTTTGCTGTACATTATATATTGAAAAATTCACATTTCAGAAATTCACTTTTGTCTTAAAAAAATAAATAGATAAATAAAAGAACTTGTAGATTTTTATGAATGAAAATATTTTGCATCATTTTATGTCTAATGAAAAGAGTATTCATTGAAAGAAACAATTTATAATAGTAATTATTTTGTTTGAAAGAGATAATTCATTTCCTTTGATAATGTTCTACATTTAGTAAGAAAAAGATTATACTCTTCTTGCCTTTTATCAAATTTATTTTGCACTGCCTTTTTTTTCTGTTAGCAGCTAATAGTTGACAAGAGTATGCAGTCTTCAAAACCTTGGGATGTATCACTGGTTCATAAAGAAAATTTAGATGATGGAACTGGTTATGCAAATCCATTTCCACAACAATTTAGCAGTAAAATAGTGAGTCCAAAAATAATTAACAAGTGGCCACATATTTCGGACAATTCTCCGGGAAACGTACAGTCTCCAACTGGAAGTTTACAAATTACTTCCCCGATAGTGTCGGGATCAACAAGAAACAGCTGGTCAGAACAAAGCTATATGACAGATGTAGACGGTGCTCCTCCTTTGCCACCAAGAGGTAATATTTTGTTTCTTTTAAGTTAATTTATAACTTCTTACTTTATTGGAGATTCCATGGGGAGATTTTCATCATTAAATGTATATATACACTTTACAAGAAACTTCAATAACTATTAGGTAGACTACTGTCTAGTTTTTAAAAATTGCTAAATAAATAAATGTTCAATGGAAGATTTGGATAAATTAATCTTATTCAATAAAGAAGTTCATATAGCCTTCCCTCCTGCTGGATAGAATTTATCACAACTTTAAGAAAATATGCTTTAATAGCTACATAGTTTCTTCTAAAGTTTATACACTAATGATGGGTTGGAAGGCCTAAAAGTACTTGGAATATATACCATACTATTATATATCATACTACCATAAGATCTCCAATAAAACAGGAAGTAATAGAATATTTTAATGTAGAAAATTAAAAACTATAAAACATTTACTTATTTGTACTTTAATCCTGTAATTTAAACAGTTTTTGCATAAATAACAAAAACTGAGTAAGGCTGTATAGATTTATGATCATCACCTCCCCGAAAACAACAGTTAAGTTTTAAGAATACATTTTTTAAATTTATATGTAATAAATATAGAAATTAAACAAAGTTTAGCATGACAGATTTTAGAATATAGACATTTTTAAGAATTTTATACCACATTTTATTTACTACTCAGGGACTTTGCCTCCCTAGCTGCTTATGACAACCCAACACTTAGCTTACTTTACCCAGTTGTTCCTAATATAGACTATTCATAACAAAAATTTGAATAATATGTATACCTTCATCTGTCTAATTCTAAGTGAAGATTCCATAATGTAAACTAAGTTCTGATCTGGTCTGACCTCAGTGTGCATTTTGAAACAATCTACAAAAATATTGGGAACAGGCAAATGACAAGGAATAGGAAAACTTTCTCATTGTTGGGTTTTGAGTGGATTTACAAGATAAGATGTATTTGTTGTGTATAGTATTCATTTCTACTTTATTTTATACCATACTACAAAAATTAAAAATATGTTTGGAGGAGACAATTTTCTGGTACAGAAATATTGGGAAATTGCCCCCTCTGTCCCATTATGGATTGATGTTCATGGAAATAAATCTCCACACACTAATTTTTAAAAATTTTTTTTATTCAATTGACAAAACTTTACTTTTACATTTTGATGGAGAAAATATAAAACAACCTTTAGATTTCAGAACAAAACAACTGGTTCAAAAAAAGAAGAATATTTAACATTCCACAGAAAAATGTTCTAATTCCATGGTTACATAGTTTACTTCACTTGCTCACTCTATGGACTTGGCCCAAATATAGACTAATTTTAACAAAAATTTTGTTAGTTGTACTTCCTGTAGAGTGGGTGGTGCAATTCCTGTTCAAAAATATCATAATTCATTGATTTCTAATGATAATGCTTTTTTTTCATGACAAAAAAGTTTGAGAATTTTAAACTAATTTTATTTCTTATTAAAGATAAAATTAGTTTAAAATTGTCACACTTTTAAATAAACTTGTAGATAAAGAATATAATAAGGAGAAAAATTTCAGATGCAAAAAAAATTGCTGAAAAAGGTGCATATTTAAAAGTAGTGCATTTTTGCATTATTTAAACTAAAGTAGAATGAAATAACATTTAAATAATTCAATACAATTTACTACAACAAGTGAGATTTATGTTTTTGATTACATGATAAAATCTTCCTCTTTATAAATATCATCTTCCTCTCTCCCAAAAGACTTACATGGTAAGCACTAAAAGTTTCAGATATTATAGGTATAAAACAATGACATAATTTTTTAATATAGTCTTCTTGCAGTTCAATACACTTATTACATCTTGGAATTTGCATTTCAATACCCTTGAAAAAATAGTATGCAGTGTTGTCTGCAAAATGCTCATAAACTGTCTCCTGCAATTCTTTATCACTTTTTCAAAGGAGCCAGGTCCAGGCTTTAGGGTTAATGGTCATGTTTCTTGAAACCTCACTCTTTCACAGCAGCCTTGGCAATGGCAGCAATATGCTCTGCCACAATGTCCTGCAAGAGGTGAACATGATGCAAATTACTGCAACAAGTCTAATTAAAATAAATGTTTCCAAGCAACTTATGCAAATTGATGGAAAAAACTGTTTTATTAGTCCACATACAGATGGCACTATCTGATACTATCATTATTTTATTCCTATCATATCTAAAATATATTTAGACCAGAAATTTCTGGCTCCTACCTTGTATATAATGAAAAGTTTCTTTCTATATTTACTGATATGAGAGGATCTAATTTGGTAAGTAGTCTGTATGGGAGCCCACTTCTTATGCAACTATCTCAAGATCAAGATTTTGAGACAAAATCAATGTTTATGAAATAATAGTATTATCTATGAATATTAAACAATTCTGTCAAGTATTTGAATGAACCCTACTGTGAAAAGCTTGCATTCACTGTACTTGTATCCTGTATTTCTATACTCTATGCTATATGAAAGTTTGAATTACTGTATATTACAAAGTATGTATAGCAGTATGGGAATTATTTATTTATTTGTTTACTTTCAAAAACTGTATAAACTTTTAGCAGAATTCAGTGCAATTCTGTATATCAATTTTTTCATCAAAACTCATTGATTTCAAAAACTGTATAAACTTTTAGCAGAATTCCATGCAATTCTGTATATCAGTTTTTTCATCAAAACTCATTGATCTTTATTAAGTATTGTAAATGATATATTAGTACTGATTTACAATTTTGAAATTTGAAATTACTAATTGTATTTTGTATAGAAATATTTAACAATTTAATTTGTTGAGTTTAAGTGAATATTTATTTTATCAAATGTCAAGTTGAAAGGATTTCAGCAAACTTTTCCAAAATTATAGCAACAAAGCACAATTCATTTAAACTGCTTTAAACTATAGATTGAGTGTGGGAATGCAGGGTTTTCTTGTTCTATTGGCCATGTAAATGGGAATAAATGTCGGTTTAGGACATTACTAGCTCGGCCACTTAAGTGAAGTTTACTGTTTCTTTTGCTAATTTAAATAGTGAAACAAAATTAAAATCTATTTACATTTCTGAAAAGTATTTTGTATTGTATATATTTCCAGAATAGCACTTAAAATTGTAAATACGAATTTTTATTAAATTTTCTTATGTCAAATTCTAGGTAACGAGAAAAGAATGGTTACATCTTGGACTGGATCATCATCTGTGGAGGAACAAAAACCAGCTTTACCCCGAAGATTAGTTAAAAAGGTACTATTATATATTAAGTAACTTTAAATTTTAGAGTATAGATTGATTATTAAAGTGCACTCTTACATTCTAATACAGATAAAATGTTATCTGTTCAATTCTATAAACTAAAATTTATTTTGCATTAAAACACTGATCATCACAACAAACATATCCCACTCTGACATTCAGTAAGAATCAAATTTTATTGAACTGATCTGAATTATCAGAATTAAAGAAAAATTGATTAATACTTTTAAGGTAATTAGTATTAATTATTTTATTAATGATTGTAGTTATTTACACTAAAAGTGGCCAAATATCTTATTTTTATATTTACAGATTTAAGTAATTTATAACATACTCTAAATGTGCATTTCTGTTTTAAATGAATTTAATTTGTTATGACTTCTTCAAGTACAAAAATTGATAAAATTAATGTGACATCATCATAATGCTGGGCTGCAATTTTTAATTATGTTTTATAATTTAAACTAATCTTTCCATGTCTGTCCACTCTGTACATCATAATTCTCCTGATAACAATCAAGCCACACTGGTCATTTATCTAACTCTGTTCTTAATAAAATTTTGCATTGAAATCATATGGTTTCTGGTCCAGATCAGAAATTTGTATACAATTAATCATGGTCTCTGTAAAGTACTATATTATTTTTCCGACTTTTCTAATGATTATCGACACGACTGTGTGCCGGAAATAGCCGTTACCTAACGGGTACTTTACGCGGATTCACGTTAATGTGCCAGGCCTGGATTTTAAGCGTGCACCGAATTAAGTAATGACAAAGTTAGTCAATAACAATCCAATATTTAATAAATATTCTAGTAATAACTATATACAAAATTTAGTAAAAACCAAATAACAATTTATTCAATGTAAATCAATAAAAATCAACCCAACAAAACTCAAATCAATCTATTTTCTAACTTAACTATTCCCCTTTGGAATTTGACAAAAATTCAAAGACTTAAGTTATGTACAATAATTCTTATGAATTAAAGGTCCTAATCGTCACTTCAATATACTAGGAACCTTTTTCCTCAACTCTCAAGACTCTCTAATCTTTGATCCACAAATTGAATAACTTCAAAATTGCCTTGGAACTACTTTATCCTATTGGACACCTCTCTCTCGTTTGCTGATACGAAGCTTACCATGCTTATTGCTAACAGAAGCTCACTTCAGTCATCTTTACTTGAGGTTCAGTCTTTATACTGTGAGGTGACGTCACAATTCTAAGTGAGATCACTCCTCTCATTTACATACTTATTGCTAACAATAAACTTTTCCTGTTTGTCTGGCAGCCTATTTTCCGACAATACTTGCTAACCTTTTAAATTATTCTTTTTGACAATTCTCGGGATGTTTTAAGAATTCTTTAAGGTTTAGCAAGTTTCCTAAGTTGTGCTTGTGGGGTCTTCCCCCCTTTTCTGGTGCAGACTTACTTTTTTCCGCTTGGGAGCGCAAGTGTGTGTGAGTTTTATCTACGGCGCTTTTCTCTCGTTGGTGAGTTGGTTTCTCTTCTATTTTTAAGTTTCTGAGGTGAGTGGTGAGGAAATCTTCATCTTAACAAAACATAAGCCCCAAACAAAAATAGAATAAAAGCAAAATGCTTGGACTTGGTTCCTTACATCTCCAGTTCCTGAGCTTTCCATATCTGGTCTCAATTTTCATCTCTCTAACTCCATTCTTGAGATAAACAAACGACAGATAACAGTGTTAATATATAGGTCTGTGATTTGAAAATTTCAGCCCAGTTGTAATATTTATAATATAGTATTGTCATTATTATATTTATCTATATATATAAAAATGAATGTATGTGTGTGTGTGTGTGTGTGTGTCCTTTATGCATTACCACACCGTTTATCCGATTGCTGTGAAACTTTGGGAACTTGTTTAATATATTCCGGTGAAGGTTTGTGGCATAGTATGATTGCCATGAAACTTTGGAAAGTTTTTTTAATTTTTTAATACACTCCTGCGAAGTACATTTATCCTACGATAGATGGCGCGTGTTTACACGAGCATTCGCGCACAGTGTGTGCGATCCATTTCAAATTGTGAAGACCATTTCCCCCTTTCAAAAAATATCTCTATATATGCATTTGTTATTTATGATATTTGTAACTATTTTTGTTTAATCATTTTATTTCAACTTTTTTTGCTAATTATGTATTCGCTCGAACTTCGTTAAAACCTTAACTGTACCCCGAACAACAACCGAAGTTGTAGGAAGAAATTCGCGTATTTTACCGATCTAGGTATCCCCCCTTTTCCAAATTTTAATATGTTTTCCTGATGAAAATGAATAATAATAATAATAAGTTTCAATAAAATAATAAAATGTAAATTGAATTTTATCATAACGAGTTTGCTTAAATTTCGTTTCAAATTGTGAAGACCATTTCCCCCTTTCAAAAAATATCTCTATATATGCATTTGTTATTTACGATATTTGTAATAATTTTTGTTTAATCACTTTATTTCAACTTTTTTTT